TTTTTTTGTTTTTTTTTTACAGCCGAGTATTAGTCCATTACATAAACATGCCACACTTTGAGCGGTGTCAAGTTCAGACGTCTCCCTCGGGCCACGTCCAGTTGGTTTACTTGGAAACCTGTGTATGGTGGCACATTTAAGAGCAATGCATGGCATAACTTTTTCAAACAACGTATAAGAATGCTGTGTATTTGTATTTGGATAGTCATGTTTATTCTATAAATAATATAATATGCTTCCATGGTAAATGGTAAAATGTAAAAAATTTGACTTCACAGTGTAAACACTGAAATCTGTCAGCAGTTAATAGCTATTACTCTCACTTGAACCACTGTGCCCTCCCCAAAGACAAATGAACATCGTGGTAGATAAAAAAGGTAGTTAGATCATTTAAAATATACTAGGATATGGTGAATGCTGACAGTGGTCCAGTGAGGGCAATGGAATCGTGGGTAATTTTTTTCTTTATTTTCTAAATGTTTTATCATGTATTTTATTATTTTTATATGGAAGAAAATGCATTCATTACTGTAAGAGAAAACAAGAACAAAGACAATACAACAACAATGCTGGGAAATGTTTCTAAAAACTGCCCAGGCTGCAGATGTGCAGAATGCTCTGCCTTCCATTGCCATCCTGCTTTCACAGCAGGGTCTGCCAATTTGCGTGCCTCTTCCTTTCGTGGCTCTGCCAGCCTCGACGTTGTGTTTTTAATTTTCCCTTTTATATAACAGCTATCAGAGTGAAAGTCCTTTTTTCTCTCTTCCTTCCTTCCCTCTCACAATGTCTTCTTGCTTGTCTTCGATGGTGGTTCTGTGTTATTTGACATAAAATGTCATCAATCAACTGTCAGTTCTGAAATAATGGATTTTACACCTAGGTATATTTTAATTATGACATGTGGTAACTAAATGTTATATCACTTTTAAATAAATTTAAAATTAAAATGGGGTGGACATTGGTGTTAATAGAAAGCTGAGGCTCTAGGAAGGTAGGGGAGAGATTAACCAAAGAACTTACATGCATAACCCACGGACAGTAGTGTGGTGAAGGCTTGGGTGGGGGGAGGGGAGCCAAGGGTGTCAATGGGGGAGAAATAGGGGAGACATCTGTAATACTTTCAACAATAAAGATTTAAAAACAGAAGAAGGAAAGCAGAGGCTGTCAAAGCCAGCAGGAAGAAGGACTTGCACCTGGATCTAGCCAAGCTCGATTGTGCTGTTGATGTAATTTCCTGGTCAAGTGAAACAGCGTTTGCAAATAACTTTTGTGCCATGGATCAGTGAATTTGTAGGTTTATTTTGCTAGTTAAATGTTCCTATCAAATATCCTTATTCACACAGGAAACAATTTCTTTTTGTAGTTCTTGTCAGGAAAGAGTATACCAAGCATCCTTTGAAAATACAGGTATAAAGACTGACCTACCACAGCAGCATTAAATCTAGGTCAAATTTTATACATGTGTGTTTATGTGCATGTGTGATGAGCGTGTGTGTACATTCACACACACATGTATAACCGCAACGAACACTTGTGGAACTTCTGTCAGGAGACACTACCACCAAGTTTTAACTTCGGTGCTGGGGACACAACTTACCAGGGTCGAGAAAACTCTATTACTATCATTGACGAATTCTTCTTTTCTAATGGAGTGCCCTTATGGTTGATCTAATAATAACTTAAAATTTCAGATTCTAAAGTACAGAAAAAGAAATGATTTAAATCTTGTGTAAATTTAACCCAACTTACATCCTAAATCTGACTTGCAAGTTTATGATGAGAACACATTTTAGAGACCAAGATTATTTTATTTTTTAGTGAATTTTTTACATTTTAAATAATGTGAATTTTTCCTAAATACTGGATTTAATTACTAGTTAGAGTTGGAGGGGCTGAGGAAATTTTTCTAAAATAATTTATCTTGTAATGACCTCTTGGAGGGTGTCTAGAGAGAAAAAAGAAGAAACATCTGTAACAAAAATAAATTAATCAAAACTGAAAAAAAGAAAGAAGAGTAGCCTCAGTTTTGCCATGAATACATAACACTTTTATTATCTCAAAAAAGAGAGCTATTTAAAAATGTGTGTCTATACCAGGCAAAAAGGGGAAAAAACAGCCTTGAGGGTGGGTTGACCCTTTCTCCCCGTTCTCACCAAGCAAGCCTGTTCTCCAAGCATGCTGGGAAATGGCACGTTCAAGAAGCCCCTCCCAGATCAGTGTGGTCTGGGGTGAGAGATTACGCAAAGGCAGAATAGCGGGGCCTTTTGGGGTCTCGCTAGAGAAAATTCTTGGCACAGTTCAAAGGACTAGTTCAGCAGTTCTCAACCTATGGGTCGCGACCCCTTTGGGGGTTGAACGACCCTTTCATAGGGGTCGCCTAAGACCATCAGAAAACACATATTTCTCAGAAAACACATATTTCTGATGGTCCTAGGAACCGAGACACTGCTCCTCTATCTGTCTCCAGGGGGGTCCGCCTACAGGCAGATAGGCCCACATACAACATGGGGAACTCTGTTAAAGGGTCGTAGCATTAGGAAGGTTGAGAACCACTGGACTAGTTAGAGGCAATATGAGCTGACATCTTCCACACTCCCTCCCTTGCTCCTCAGAGTATTGCCGCAGGACACATGGCCCAGCAACCTGTGGAAACATAATCTCATGGAAGACTGGTCCTGGAGAGAAACATCAGCCGCGCGACATCTGTCCTCCAGCAGGGGGTTCTCTTCTGTTAGCCCTGGGCATCACGCTCTGTCTTCCTTCTTTTCTCCTTCTGTTTCTACACACACACACACACACACACACACACACACACACACTCACACCAAGATTTTCAGTTTAACTGCATTACATTCTACTCAGAGACCAAAAAATATTCAACCAACTATTGATTTTTGTTAGGTAATGTTGAAACGTAGAAGTAACAAAAGTTAAATATAGATGAAAATTAAAAAAATAAAACCACTGCCAGAGCACTGGGGTGAGAAGTACCTTTTTAATAGATACATAAATTATAGTTATTTCATTTAGAAAACATCAAACCAGTCGTGTTTCTGGAAAGTAGGCTTGGCATCTCTAGAAATAGTTACATGACCTTGATAAAGACTTTATTCTTTCAAGTCGTATGAGTTATTGTTCTAATTAGTAAGGCCAAGTTCTAACAGAGGAGTCTAATAAAATGTTCTTTGGATATTAAAATAATTCTCCAAAGCCTAAAGTTTTGCAAATTTCAGGCAAGTTACTATATCTGAAACTCTGCCCAAGATACATAGTGAGTAATCTGTTGCTTGCTATAAAAGCTTTTTGGATGAAAAAAATAAAACCCACAAACTTTAGGTATTAGAATATTTGATTTACTAAATGTTAGCGCCTCTTTTGCCTGTTTCTCTTGCTAAACATTGAGACTGAGACTTGACTATGACTATCTAATCTTTCTCCATTTTTGGAAGTTTAGCCTCTGTAAATAGTGGAAAAGGAGACCCTCTTGAATTGTTATGGTGAATATTTGGTTTCTGCATGAAATGGATGTTTAAATGTGTAAGACTTCAAGTAATGTTGAATTTGGCTGGATACCGTGTGGTTCTATCTTAAGTCTTTAAAATAACATGGGTTCTCAAATAGCGATATGCTTTCCCCATCCCTGACTAGCCTTGTGTTATTACCCTCACTGTCTACTTCAAACCAATTTTATGCAGTTTACAATTCTTGTAGCACATGGTTGCTGCCTACAAGCACTTTGTGTGCCTTGGCAGACAGCCACATGTGACACTGAAGAATGATTTCCTGCATGAATAACAGGGATTCTTGCTTTTATTCATTTTTCTACTTGAGTTCAACTTTTAGGGTAGGGCTGGATTAGATCTTATTTTTCTTTCTTCTCCCCTCTGCTTCTTCCTCTCTCCTTTCCCCCTCCCTCTCTTCCTTTTTTTTTTTTTTTTGTTGTTGAAGTCTCCCTTTGCCCTAAATAGAATAATTTATGCTGCCAGTATTATTAGAGGTTCTTGTCAAGCGATGATAATGTAATACTCATGTAGACAACCCCAGGTGTTTCTAGGTTTGCCTTCTACTGAATCCTTACTTATTTTTCAAGTCATTTTGAGTAGGAACCCATTTGTCCTTTGCTTTGTACCCCTGGCAGTGGAAAATTCTCAGGGTAGAAACCACGTTGGCTTGTAAGCCGCATCACTCATATTGAAACCCTGGCTTGCAAATATAATAGCTTTTACTTAGCAATACTTGAAATGAGGGCTGCGTGTACTTTCCTGCTGGAAAGAAGGAGCAGATGCCTTGAGAATATAGACTGAGGCGGTGACAGCAAGAGGTGATGGGGAACCCTCTGGAGAGAGCGCTAGGTGACAGGGAGGGGACTGAGGAGTTGGCAGGGCCAGGTGAATATTCTGTCTCAAGACCTCTGTAGCACAAGAGGCAAGGGATGAGCATGGCCTCTTTTTAGTCTGAGGACCCTCAATCCCTCTGCGCTTTCGCTCCCTTTGCCTCTTCCAGCCCTTTCTTTGCAGGAGTCTCGAGCAGGCTGGGTGGCAAGGCAGCGGACTGAGTGAAGGAAGCAGCTGGGAAAAGTGAGCAGTCTACATCTGTGGTGGTTCCCTTTCCGTTTAGGGCTTGGTGTGGCCATCTTTGTTCTGTGCACTTACACAGACTTGCAGTCTAACACACTGCTGTTCTGTCACTCGATCAATTGGTTGAATTTATTGACCTTCCATTGGGTTACTTATTTTTGTTCAACATCACATGGCCTAAATACTTGTGTTCTGAACCTACTGCCTATTCATAGAGCATTAGTCCCAAGTGCAAGTAAGAGATAACTTTTTGATTAGCATCTAAATATTTTGCACGAGGGAAATTCAAAAAAGGATGCAAGAAATGTGTGTAAATATACACATATATAGGATATACGCATGCATAGGCACATATATGTATATGTCCACACATATATACATTGTATATATTTACACATATATACATATGTATACATGCACACATTTGCATATATTATGAATATAATGTTTAAATGGAACCTGGACATCTATTACATACTATGGAACTTGTTAAACTATATATGGAAATAAATATAACATCACATTTTCAGTATTTATATATTGCACTGGATGTCTTTAAATACTAAATCTTACTGTTGATTAACAAATTGAATTAAGTACCATCTTAATGGCAAATTAATACAAATTTCCTGTTAGCACGTTTTGTTGCCATTTGGGAAAATTATACTATCAACCAGTGTTAAATCAAAAGCTCCAAATCAGTTATAAATTGAGAACAAACAGCAAAAGCTGAATGTGCTCCGCATAACATTTCAAAATGTTTTGATTCTAATTAAGTCTCTTCCATTAGACATCCCTGGCCCTAATGCCTCTTTCAGAAGAGTCTGTCATGCTGAAGATGTGAAGTCAGGAAGAGCAGCCTCTGGAGGCACCGTGAGGCTTAGTCTACTTCCTCCAGGTTGGTGTCGGCCACGTTGGGCACCTGGGGTCCAGCCGAGGCCCCTCCTGGCAGGCCCTCTGCTGCTGCCGTTGGTGGTGGCGGCCTACTGGGCTCACACCCAGGCACCCCAGCTGGAACTTGCTCTCCTGCTGGGGGTGGTGGGGCAGGACCGTTTGCCTCCCTCCCCCAGAAGGAGGCCTCTGCTGGGGCCTGTGGGGCCTGACCGGAAGCTTCTGCCTCCGGAAGGGGGTGCTGATCAGCCAGTCCTCCAGTGGAGAGACCCTGGTCTTGGGGCTCTGCTCCGGACCCCACAGGGAGATTAGTGGCCCTGGGGCGAGGTTCTGCCTCATTGCCCCCTTCAGCCTCAGCCTGAGGAGCTGGGGGAGGCAGGGGACCCTCTGAAAGGCATGGAGGGAGCAGAGAAGGGTGCTCTGGCCCCTCGAGGGCCATGTCACCGCCCCCTTGAGGACCGCTGAGTGCCGGTTGCAACTCTTTGGACTGGTCAAGGGTCGGCTCTGAATGATGAGTAACCATGAAGGCCGTGGCCAGATTTCTCACAGCGCTGTGAACACTATTGCTGCTCTCTGCGTCCGCCTCTTCACCCAGCCTTGACTCTGGCTCTTCGTCGGAGGTGTGCTGACCTTGGTCATCCTCAGGCATTTTCGCTTCTCTGATTTTTTTGTAAAGTTCGTTTCTCTCTTCTTGTAAAGCTCGGCAGAGATTCTCTAGCCTCCCAATTTTCATCACAAAGCACTCATATTCTTTGGCTCTCAATGCTTTCTGTGATTTGAAAATACACACAAGCATAGAACTGTCAAAAAGCAAAATTGCCAGGATGTTCTCTGGAGACCAGCAAAACCGTTTGTACAGGAATCTGCCCACCAGGCCCTGGGGTTTGACCACAGAGTGGGGGCTGGACAGACCCTTGGTCGGAGACCGCAGTCCCTTTTTTTCTTCACTATATTCTAGACTCTGGTAGAATTTTAGTCACTCTGATAGAATTTAGGGAAAAAAGATGGCAAAGCTTCTCTCTGCTTCAGTCCAGGGCCTCTAAAATCACACAGAGTTTTCTGCCTGCAAGACTTAGAGAGGGTGTAAGGAAGTGCGTGCGGCAAAATGAATGCGTTGGACTGGACTTGGCAGCCAGCAACGCCTTATCTGCTCTATAGATAAACTGCTCTGCGCTAATCCAGCAATTGCTTGATTTATGTTGACGGATAATAAGCTCATGTCTTTGGAATTGGTTGCAATTTGGGATGAATTGTTAGAACAGTAATTATAACCAGAGAAACTCACCGCACACTAATTCGTGATGCTGGCTGTTCAATTTTACTTTTCTGTAGAAATCAGTGTGCTTGTGCATGAAATTATTCCTAATCCTCTCATCCCTTCCCTCCACCTTTGGCTACTCTGGACCCTTTAAGATTTTTTTACTTATTAACATAGAGAGACCTTCACCTGTAAGTCCTGCCTCTCAGGTCAAAGACCATGTATTTTTGCCTTTATAGTTTCAAAACCTTTTCAGAGCCTGACATAGTATCAGTATTTAAATACCTCTTAGAGGAATTAAATAATTTATCTCCATATCTGTCTGTAAAATAGCACATACTCTGGGTCCTTGGACTGATGTCTTCTCTCAGTATGTTCAAATCAATGAATTAATTCACTCTGTACCTGTTATATGCCAGGCACTAGGGAAATTCGAAGATACTCGCCGGGCCTTTAAGGAATTCACAGTCCCGCAGGCCTGCTGCCGCTCGGGGATCCACAAGTAGGCATGGGACTTAAGGGACACAAGCTCTTGAGGGGTCAGGACCCGATTCTAAACTGCTTTGTTGTAATGACCTTTACTGCAATTTCAAATCTCACACCCCAGAAAACTTCAGCCCTTTTTCAAAGGCATCATTTGTACTATTAGGATACAGTTTTCCAAGTGTGAATACTTTGAGTAGCCAGGGGACAATAAGCTAAGGGAAAAGCGTCCTCACCTCTTCAATCATGTCCAACAGAGCTTTGTTACAGTTCTCGAACCTGGCCTTCCACGTGGCCGTGTCCTTTTCCAGCTTCTTCATCTTCTTAGTCGTCTGCAGAAATCAGAGTGTTTTAACATGAATCCTGAAGAGGCAATCTACCAAAGAAGCTACTAGTTCCATATGTGATGTCAAGAAAAGTCCTGTGTTAGCAGCTGCTGCCGCAAACAGGCTCTGCATGAGGGAATGAAGAGTGAGAGGGGTAGGTCCCTGTGTTCCCGCCTCATGTCTGTCGGTGCTCAGCAAATGTGTTTGCACCAGTTCAGGGAAAAGGAAACTGCTTAGGGCCTCACTCTTTTGTCATTGGTTTGTCTCTCTTTTAAAGTAAAAAAAAAAAAATAGCTTAATTGAGTCCCCCCAGGAAGCTTGCAATTTAGATCATTTACTTTATTGAATAGAGACTATCAGTGAAAAAGTTGGCCTGGCTCTTTAGCCATTAAAATGTTGATAGGTCCTGGCCGGTTTGGCTCAGCGGTTAGAGTATCGGCCTGCAGTCCACAGAGACCCAGGTTCGGTTCCCTCAGTTGCAGTTTGTCCCCGGCCCTGGTGGGTCGTGCGGGTGGCGGCCACTCGATGTGTCCCTTTCATGTTGATGTTTCTCTCTCTCTCTCTCTTCCTCTCTCTCCCTCCCACTCTATCTTAACAGAAAATGGAAAACTGTCCTCGGGTGAGGATAAAAAAAAATGTTGATAGCATCTGGGGCGTTGGAGAAGTAGCCACCCAGAGGCAGCTTCCGCAGTCTTTACGTCCGTAGAGTGCAGTAGGGTCCACAGAACATGCTCACACACGTCATTCATTTCATCCTTGAAACAGCCCCACAAGGAAGGATCTGCTCTCCCTCCAGTTTGTAAATGGGGGAACCGAGGCTGAGAGAGGCGGAGCCCAAGGTGGGCGGAGTTATTTCACCCCATTTGCTGGGATGTGTGCAGGTGTCTCTGCTAGTTGCTAGGCTGTGGCTGCACTTGGTAGCGTGCAGACCAAATAAAATTCAGCCTGTCGCCCTGGCCGGTTTGGCTCAGCGGTTAGAGCATCGGCCTGCAGTCCAGAGAGACCCGGGTTCGGTTCCCGCTAAGGGCATGTACCTCGGTTGCAGTTTGTCCCCAGCCCTGGTTGGTTGTGCGGGTGGCAGCCACTCGATGTGTCTCCTTCACGTCGATGTTTCTCTCTCTCTCTCTCTCCCTCCCACTCTATCTGTACAAAAAAATGGAAAAATGTCCTCGGGTGAGGAAAAAAAAAAAAAATTCAGCCTGTCTTTTCAAACCTGAAGCTGCTCACATTCCTGGTTGTAGGATCTCCTCTCTGTTTGGATGAAGTAAAGACAAGACACAAAACCCAGGAGCAGTGTCCCTGGATTTAGCGCAGTTGGCACTTGTTGTTGGTGCCAATCTGCCTGAGGCTGGGTACCCTCGGAGGTCAGAGGCCAGGCCCAGCTCTTGGCCCCTGGGCTCTATAGAGAACCTAGGTGAGCCTTGAGTGGGTTTTTAATTTTGATTATTTTTTAACCAAGTTAGTAGTTTATGAAATTTTTAAGGTCATTCACCCCTTTAAGAATTTGATGAAGTCTATGGGACCACACTCAGAGAAATGCAAATATGCACAACACTTTTTTTGTTGTTGCTATAAATGAACTCCAGATTAAGAACTCCTACTCTTAATCTTCAAGGTTGAGATTTCTCTTTAAGATTTATTCCAATCTTAGAACTATGCAATTTTGAATTAAAAACATGTTTGCTGTCCAGCCAGTGTGGCTCACTGGTTGAGCATTGACCCATGTACCAAGAGGTCCCAGTCAGGGCACATGCCAAGGTTGGGGGCCCAATTCCCCGTGGGGATCATGCAGGAGGCAGCTGATCCATGTTCTCTCTTATTGATGTTTCTATCTCTTTCTTCTTCTTCTCTCTCTCAAATCAATAGAGAAAAATAAATAAATAAAAACATGTTTTCTGCTTTAATATTTATTATAATCTTAAAACTCTATAATTAATTTTTAAAAAATGGATAGATCCCTCCAGGAATGGAAAAGCCGAAACTGTTAACAAGTGTCGGTCTACTTCCGTTTGCTCACTGAATTGTGAAATTTATTTTATCATTTTATGAAAATGTTTTGAAGAGGAGGCTCTCTACACTTGAAAAATGGTTAATGTCAATGCTTTAGAAACACAATTCTGATGCTGATTTTGTTTTGGGAAAACACTGAATTGAATAAGATTTAAACATTATAGCCCACAATAACGTGAGCATCTTATATTTGTAAAATACTTTTTAAAAGTTGAAAACCCTTTTGAAGTATGTAAACTTATTTGAACTCCTTACTTTTATGAAGTAAGCAAGGGAAATATTGGCTTGAATTATATTAAAAATAACATTGAGGGAAGTTGAGTGAATTGTCCAATGCTACTTGATGAGTGAGAACGCAGCCAGAATTTCAATCTAGACGTCCGCCTTGTTTGAAGACTCTTACATCATACTGCTTATCTTTTCTTCTGGGAAGGGTCCTATGAAGTGGCATTTCTGCCGTAAAATTCTACTCTTGCATATTTGTACGAAAGCTTTTTTTTTTTTAATCTTTAGAAGATTAGATTTTTTTAAATTTCAGTATAAACAACATAATGTTAAACTGCTAGCTCTTGCCTTCTTGTCTTTTTTTATTTAAAATTTTTTTTGTTAATCCTCACCCAGGTATATTTTTTCCATTGACGTTTTTAGGGGGGTGGAAGAAGAGAGAGAGAGAGACAGAGAGAGAGATGGGGGGGGAGAAACATCTATATGAGAGAGACATGCTGATTGGTTGCCTCCTGCACGTTGCCCTGACCGGGAATTGAACCTGTAACCCAGGTATGCGGTAGCTGGGCCAACGTTCTAACCACTGAACCACACTGGCCAGGGCTAGCTCTTGTCTTTTTAAAAAAGCTATCCATGGGCTAGAAAAAAAAAAAAGTCTTCCTCAGCATGAAAATATGTCCTAATGTTTTGGGGGTTCTCTTTAAGATTAATTCACTAAATACTTACCAATAAAAAAATGTAGCCCAAATCTCATTGGCACTTACAAATGTTTCATTACTTTATGAAAACGCACTGGAATACCTTAGCAAGGAAAAAAATGAACCCAAAGGAGAATCGCCTGTCAAAATAGAAAATGTCAATAGTTTGTGTGGGATAAGCACTACTCACTTTATCCATTTCCTGTTTGAAAGTGGCAAACACCTCGTTGCTTTTTGTCAGTGTGCTCTGGAACTCCTCAAACCTTCCCGAGTAGAGGGTGAGCTGTAAACGGAAAGAGCCGATCTATTTTAGGGCTGCTTTCAGAATGCTTCCAGAACAAAACAACATGTCATTGTTCATTATTTGTTAAGAAAAATGATTTAAGGGAATTCTCAATGCAGTGTTAGTAATATGCTCAGTTCTCTTATTTACTTCGACATCAACCAGGGTCAATTACTATGATTGAAGTACTTCTTTAAAGAAAAATGAAGTCATAAAATATGTCATTACCACTTTAGTGTATCATAACTTTTACCAACAAACATCTATAGACCTCTGAACATATGCATGGACTGTGTGTAGAAAAGTATTCGACATGTGGCTCCTGCTTTTGAGGGACCTGTGTTCTTGATGGGAAGACAACCCAAAGACAACTTGACTGCCGTTCAGTGAAGATCAAGTGCCAACGCTGAGAACGAGCCATGTTTCTGTGGAGAAGGTGAGCCTTGAACTTGGTCTTGGAGGAAGTGAGAATGTAGACAAATGAAAAGAAGTGATCAAGGAAATGTGGGCCCGACGCGGACGAGAGCTGGTGCCCTTAATACAGGTTGTACTTCTCTAAGCAATTGCTATTTCCATTTTAGACATTGTGGTTTTGTATATTTAGGAATACAGTGTTCTAGCCAATAGCTGTTAAATGTCCCTTTTCATCAAAATCAGTTTCTTATACCAGTTTTCTCCAGATGGAAACAATGAGTCTTGAGGAAGGAATGCCTTTTCCCAGTTTGCACAAAACAGCACTGTGCGGGTTAGCGCTGGCAAGTGTGTAGCTCACCGTGGGATACGGAGAAGAGCCTTTGTGTCGCCACGTCCTAAATTCCAAAGCTGGCCTTTGGGTGGGGATAGGGCAGGACAGGAAAGGAAAGGGTGTAAATACTTGATTGCTAGCGACAGTAACACAATATAAAATTTTGAAATCGTTTTAGGATAACATGTTTTGAGTGAGTGGTTTAATATGGGTGATTCAATGAGTAAAGCCTGCATTTTGCAATGAGTCTTTGGTACCCTCGAGTGCCTGGAATAGCCCCAAGTCTTCAATGGGCATAGAAATGTCTTTTGTGTGAAGAAGTAAGCTTGCAACATCCAGCAACAAACAAGAACCTGAGACTGCCCTTAGGCTGGGATGGTGGCGTATCAGCCAGAGGGCAGGCACCAGCTAACCAGCCGGTGGTGCTTGTGAGACTGTCCCATTGAAAGCAGAGAAGAATACACCAACTGAAAGCCAGCAGAATGTAGAATTCTTAGTCTTGAAGGTGGGAGTTAGAGGAAGTGTGTGGGAATCAACCCCTAGAACTCAGAAAATTCTCTTATCTAGAATGGCTCGTTCTGAAATGATTCGGAACAGCAGAGGTTTTAATGCAGGACAGAACAACAAAATGATTACATGAAACCTTTTCACTGGATACAAAATTTCATTGGCTACACAAAGAAAAGTCAAACAACAGCTGACCGTTTTGAAATCACTCATTAGCACTGTGAGTATGTGACAGTTTGGGGCAACTCCAGTGGTCTACTGTTTGATTCCATGGCATACAGATTAGAGAAGACTGGGTAAAGGGCACCATGGAATTCATGGTCCGGAGGGTTTCTCTCTCTCTCTCTCTCTCTCCCTCATTAACCCCCCCCCACCCCGTCTCTCCTCACACACATACACATTGTATAAGACAATAATTTTATTACATGCAATGTATTTTCAATACAATGTATTTTAATTCTGTTTTATTTTTTTTCAAAGTCCTGACTGGGATCCAGTGAATTGATTTCGGGGCCCATGCATAGGTCAAGCCTCTCAATTTGAGAGGTTCTGCCCTAGTGTATGTTCTTGTGGGACTGGCTACTAATACTACATGTGATCTGGTGGCCTAGGTTGGGAGTAACTACCCCCAACTGATCCTCTTCACCTTCTATCACAAAATCTGTTCATTTGCATTCTTGGCCAAGTGCTCCTCTTAATTTCCTGTTCTTCCCGCCCCCCTACCATTTCAGTAATTCCAGCAGAGTTGCCTGGGAGTCTCAGACACCATGGTCTCCTGAGCGGGCCCTCCCAAGCCCTCTTGCAGCCCTGTACTTGTAGGTTGCAGACAGAGGGCAGGAGGGTGCACACGCGTGGTCCATCTCACAGAGGCAACCTTGCCGGCTCTAAGGAGAAGAACCACATCCACCCCTTTATTTGGGCAAAATATTCTTTTGGTCAACTGGGCTGACCGCGATGACAAACACACCCAGAGTGCCAAGAAGTGATATCTTGCTCCGTGACCACCTCTTCTGGTCCTTTCTAATGATTGTTTTTTTTCCTCAACTTTTTTCTTCAAAAAATTTTTAAATTTTGGTAAAATAATACATAACATAAAGTTGACCATCTTAACCATTTTTAAGTCTATCTGTCAGTAGTGTGAAGTATATTCATATTGTTGTGGAACTAATCTCCAGGACTTTCTCATCTTGCAAAACAAACTCCATACCCATTAAACAACAACTCCCCATTTGCCCCTTCTGGGGACTGTTTTTAATAGTCTGCTTTTCTTCCTATTTGACCCCATTGCCACGTGTGGCAAAACGTGTATGAATTATATTTTTCTCAGTTAACTAACCCTAACCCTCCACTTATACTACCCACAGGTGTACACTTTCTGTTTCCTATATGGATGTTTGCTTGGGAGTATTTTCCCTCTCACTACCAATGATGCATGTTTGTCTTGATGTGTCATAGTCTTGCACTCACTTTGGTATTTCAGGAAGTGTGGAAGGGACATCCCAAGGTCATCCACAGTACCTCTCCTGCCAGAAGCAGCAATCGAAACAAACTGTTCTAGGGTTAGTAATAACAGCCATTGCCTCAACATTTCTATTTTAAATGGGCTGACACACACATCTTTTAACCAAGTACCAGATTTAATTACAAACACAGCGTACAGGAAACAGAATTGTGCTCAGGAATTTTCTTAGCAAACTTGTGAGATTTGGTTTGGGAACAATCCCAATTATAGTTGCAGAGGATGCTCCTCTCATCTTATATTGATAAGGTGAGGACTTTGGGATTGAAAGACGATGATTACCCATCTTTAGCAATTTACTCACTGGTCTTTCCCCTTGGGCAGTATTTCGTGTCTGGGTTGTCAGGGATTGCTGACTTTCCACATCTACTACCATCTTCATCCTTATCGATCCAATGAACACTCTATTTGTAGTGATGATTGCATCCCATTGATCATCTCTGACATTTAGTCTATTGCCTTGGTTTGTATAATTGAAAGCCAGACATCTCTTCCTTAAGTGAGAATCATGCCCTACACGGGCAAGCAGTTTGAAAAGTGACTTCCATGGAGGAAAACACAATCCATCGTTGACATTTCCTTTGTTCAGATGGCAGAGAGGCAGACTAAGGCCTCCCCTTCCTATCCCCCACCCCTGTAAAGACATTGTAAAAGCAAAGGAAGTGTTTGAGTGCTATGCAAAATGCTCTGTGGGAGACTTTGTTTTTCAAGGTTGAAAGGTTTTAAAAATATAATGTTGATACTTTTCAAGAGGACCTTGTCTAAATATTATTACACCTAAGGATGCAGGGCCTCTATATACTTCTTGATGATTAAGTAGTTATTGAAGTTTTGAAAGTGCCATGAAGAAAACAAGACAGACAAAGGTGGGTCCTTGTAGAGAGAGCCACGTGCCGCGGAAAATAGGGCAAAAGAGGAGAAGGCTGGGTTGACTCAGTTTACAGCTACACTCCTTTAGCTCTGTAAGTTCTTCCCATTCATGAACTAGGTTCTTGAGATCATCTTTTCCAGTGGTTCTTAAACTTTGTTTTTTGCAAATAGAGACTCCCTTAGACTCATATATTCCTAAGTGGGTCCTCATCTATGAAATAATACTAATAGCGCATATACTCATTGTTAGCATTTTATAAACATTATTGTTATAACTAGATTATACATTTAATTAGGCAGGGATTTTTGTCTCATTGATTACTATATCTCCAACACCTAAAAGTATGCCTAGCACTTAGTAGGTGCTCAATAAATATAAGTTGAATTAACTATGTTTATTATGATCTAGGCCCTGAGCTAAGTGCCTTGCACGCTTAATTTGAAAACAAACTGCATGTATTACTATTCCTGAACTCCTTTTCCTTTTAAAAACTTAATAAAATATAGGAATAATGACCAGTCATAGCCATACTTGCTGATTGAGAGCTGATATAATGTCAGAAACAACTAGATTTTAGATAGCAGTTGCTGCCTTATGTGCTGTGATATTTTGGAAAATTAACGGGCCTCCCAGAGGTCAGAGGACTCCAGCTCGGGCTCATGAATCCATTACATCATCTTTATTTTACAGACCATGAAATTTAGACCCAGAGAGGCTTAGGTGCACTACACAGGATCACACAGCTTTTCAGCAGAAGAGCCAGGACTCTGGCCCTAGCCCCTGGACTCAGTCCAGTGTTGAGGGACGAGTGAGAAACATTGGCAAGTTTAGAACCCCTGGTAGATGCTTTTTCAAGTTTGAGGGGAACTAGGTGGAAAAGTAGAGCACACCTTTATATTTTTATTTTATAGGTCATCGCAGGCCTGGATTCTCCTGGCAGCTGAATGAATCACTCTGTAGCCCAGAGTCTGATGATATTAATATACTTTCTCAAGTTCATTATCTTTGTTTGGCAAAGAACAGTAGAGATTGCTTATAACATGATGTGAACAATGAATAGCTCCAAGTACAGTCTATCATATCCTCAGGGCTATGTGTTGTGAACGGGGCAGAGACGGGGCCAGAAGCCCTGATGTCCTAAATCGGTGAGGTCACACCTCCCTTCCCCTGCCTGTCCCTGGTTAGAAAGCCATCACTGCCTGCCGCCTACCCCCACAGTGAGGTGGTGGGCTTGTGACTGTCTAAAGGACAGTCCTGAGTGTAGAACTCTAGACGTTAGTCTTTCAACTCTGGTCCCTTCATTCTATTAGTAATCAAAGGCTTTATGGCTCCAAGGTCTATGTAATTAGTATTTTCAAACTATTTTGATATATTCCGGGGGGGGGGGGGAAACAATTCATTGTTGCATTCAGTGCACACATTGGAAATGCGTGCTTGAGGAAGGTTAGCTGTCCAAACACTCTCTGTGCTTTTGTCTATGCAGTGGTATAATTCGTGATGTTAACTTCCTTATTTTTCTTTTCTTTTACAACAAGCAAGTATTCAGCAGTCAGTGCGTAAACATTTACAAGTGAATTGCTCAAATCTTAAAGTAATGCTGCCCAGTCTGGAAGGCTTCCGATTTCAGCACCTTGTGTGAAGTCGTTCTGTGTGATTTCACAGGCCCTTCAGGGCTCAGACATTTCTCCCAGCGGGGGAACCAGTGCCTCTCTGCGCCCCTGGCAGGATGGCTCCAGGAACCCGATGGGGACGGTTTGCCAGGAGGGCCAGAGCCCCGGGACCCAGGAAAGATGGGTAGGCCTGCCTTTCCCCCAGGGTCCGATGTTGCATGAGGCTTTATTTTTGAGTCTGAACTATGAATTCTCACAATCTAGTGAGAACACACACATGATATCACAAAGGCAGTTGAGAACGGTTCCTGACTGGTCTGCCACTGAATCATTTGCCACGGACTAAGCCAGCCTCAGAGAGCACAAAACCCTGGGCGCTGACTCTACTTTTCTACTTGTCTTTTATTACGAATAATATCAAACAAGCAAGGACATTTTCAGCATTGACAGTTATAGATGGTACATCTGAAGAGCTTACATTTACTTCTTACCTTAAGAGGGTAATGGGGAGGAGAGAGGGGACCTGTGTAGGAACAGACAGGTAGGAACCTGGACACCAGTGTGTGCTCATTGACCGTTTGGCTGCCCTTTTGTTTTTTTTAATCCTCACCCGAGAACATTTTTCCATTTCAGATAGAGTGGGGGGGGGGGGGGAAGAGAGAGAGAAACATCGATGTGAGAGAGACACATCGACTGGTTGCCTCCCACACGACTCCAGCCAGGGCCGGGGATGAACCGCAACCATGGTACATGCCCTTGGACTGGAATCGAACCCGCGACTCTTTAGTCTGAGGGCCGATGCTCTAACTACTGAGCCAAACCAGCCAGGGCTGCTGCCCTTATTTGTGTGTCAATAAACCTTCTACTGGATGTTGTTGCTGAAGAGCGTTTATTTTTCTCAGATATAACACTGGGATTTTAGTTTTACTTAATAATAAATATGAAGGTCGTCGTCTTCTTTTTTTAAAATCCTCACCAGAAGATATATATATTTTTTATTTATCTTCAGATAGAGTGGGAGGGAAGGAGGGAGGGGGAAAGAGAGAGAGAGAAACATTGACATAAGAGAGACACATCGACCAGGGCTGGGGACCGAGCCACAACTCAGGTAGGTGCTCTTGACTGGAATCAAACCCGCAACTCTTTGGTCCACAGGCCAAAGCTGCATCCGCTGAGCCAAACCAGCCAGGGCTGAAGTTATACTTTATTTGCAACTCCTGACCCCTCCCCCTGCCACATGCATTTGTTCTGCACACCACCTTGGTTCACAGCCTCTTCCCTGGGAACAGGAGAGCGCACCCCATGCACGGTCCCTCCCTCCCCCTCAACTTCACCTGAGCCTGCAGGACTGTCTCTTGTTCCTTCAGCACTTTGGCCTGAAGTTTCCACTCTGCGGCCTGGTTCAGCAACTGAAGAGAGAATGCAGGGAAAGACTATCACATTGTCTTTTCAATGACCGTTTGGCTGTAATTTGTGTATAAAACCGAATAACTTGTTTATTAACCCACTCAAGTGATTTGGGGTGAACTTTGGAAGGACTTTAAGAAATCTAAGAAAACAACTAGTTTCAACAGTTAGAGTCTCAACTAAAAGCTAGTGGTTTTATTGGGGGGAAAAAAGGGAAATCATTTTTAAGTCAAACATGAATCCCACAAAATGTGACCTCCTACCAAATTCTGGAACTTTCTCTAGCAGTCCTGCCCAGCCGTCATTTGGCCTCAACTTGAACATGTCCACCTGGGCCACTGGTTGTGAGCACCTGTTTCTTTGTATCAAATGCAAAGTTAGTCTCCTAACTAACCAGTGTTCTCCACCCTAGCATGCGTCAGAATCTCCTAGGGAGCACGCGCAAACCCTGATCCCTCTCACAGAACATCAACAGGAAGTTTAGGGTTTGTGATTGGAATTTATTCTTATAACAAATACCCAAGATGGTTTGGATATTGGTGGTCCATGGATTACATTTTGAGAAACACTGGGTTAGAAATATGACCTATTGTAGCAAATTCTGTGTAAGGTTTATAAAATAAGTCTTGTATAAGTTTACAAAACGTCCCTCTTCCATAAGGTAGCTTCTCAAATACAGTCAAGGCCCTCACATTAAACAGGGTCAGAATTTGGAGCTGACGGGTTATGTTGAAAAAGCTGTTTCAGACATAAACATGACACAAATGTTACTTTAGGTAAGAGGTATATTCATGTATTAATCCATTTGGTGTAGGGCTCTGGTCTTTGTTTAGGTGTGGACCTTCATAATGGATTCAGAGGGTTTGTTCTGTTTTTACATAAATGATATCCATAATGTGCCATATAAGCTTTAGAACTTTTTTCTATTTTAAGCAAAAGTGCCAGAACCTAGTTTTACAACTTTCTCCCAGTCTTTTGTAGCTACTAACACCTGGTTGGACAGTTGTTTCTTGCTCTTTGCTTACATCTAGTCCTTCAAGCATAATTTTCATAGAAACAACTTTTTTCTCACGCTTCCATTTCTTCAGATAACGTGTGATTCTGTGGATTCATGCGATACAAACACAAGGCTAACTGGAAAGACAAGGTTTGGGAGCAAAGGGCTGATTCTTGGTTGACTCCATCTTGCTCAACGGGGGCAACCACAGGTGGACAGTCCAGAGCGGCTCCGCCACAGGATTCCGCTTGCTATAGGCACCTGCTGTGAGCACCTGCTCTGGGCACCTGCTCTGGGCACCTGCTGTGGGCACCTGCTGTGGGCACCTTCCAGCAGCGTGCGTGCCGAGACAGTGGTGCAAGTCATGGGTTACTCTGGCTAGTCAGTCAGGTGGCTGTTGGTTAAGGAGATTCTAACGTATTTGAAGATAGATTGATTTACATTTGTCTCTACTATAAAAAAGTGTCCATGAGGTACATGTATTACTTTTGTAATCAGAAAAACAACAGTAACAACAAAAAACAATGATGTCATTGTTTTTTTTTAACTTGAAGACATCTTTTTTTTCTTATCCAAGTTTGTCCTTGTTCCCATGGCTTGACCTCTCCGTTTGTAAGATGGGTGACACATGTTCCTCTGTACCTCCCAGCGGGCAGTGAAGTTGAATTATTATAGAAGTGAAATAATTTGAGTGGACTGGGGCAGCTGGGGGGCAGAAGACCTGCAGGGTCCCCTCTGGCCATCTGAGCGCATGGTGGCTGTGTGCATGGACCCTGTTTCCTAAGTGGGTTGAGGAGCCCTGCTGTGCTGGGTGGTCTCTGACGGAGAGGGGGCAGGTGGCTACCTGTTCTCCTTGGAGTGAAGGAGCCCCCAAGGTCTAATGTTATTTCATCACTTTCAGAAAGAAACATTGGAGCTAGAAACTGGGTAGGTGGCCAACCAGCATTGAAGAACTGAGGGGGGCTACTCAAAACCTGCTATGTTTTACTAAACCAGGGTAGGAAAATAGGTAACATGGACTTTCTTGCTAAGGCTGGGTCACCCCACTAATGGCCCCTAGTCCCCTCTGTCATGTCTCATATGTGATAACCACAGATACTGATCCTATAGGAAGCATATTTTACCTAATAGAGTAATTATGCCAACAGTGGAGTATCAGTTTCCTTATATGAATATAAATGTTTTATTTCTTACCTTGAGAGCTAGGTTGTAGATGGGCAAATAAATTAATCTTTTTATTAAGAGCACATGGACTTCTGATTTGAAATTATTCAGTGTCCACTTGGTTATATATATTCCAGAATTTGTCCTTTTGTTGCTACATTTGAAAACCAGTTATTTTTAAATTACTATTCTAACAACTTGAAGTGATTCTGATCTGATTTTCAGTAAAGGCAAAGCTTGTGATCAATTATTAAATGGCCAAATCCCAATGACTGGCCCATTGACTGTGTCTTAAATCTCTCTCTTTCTTCAGGATTAGACACAAACTTCAGCTTTGGCCTCTGATACATGCCTCCGTGTGTGCTGTACTATCTCAGAGCTTGGGCTTGGGGGCAGATCCACTTGGTAAACTATACCTCTTGGTCACTCGGAAGTGTGTGGCCTTAATTAGACAAGTTGGGTATCCTGTTTGAGCCTCCATCTGTAGAACGGCCTTATAGCTATCTTGGAATGTTTGGGATTAGTGAGATGTCAGTAGAAGCCACGATCAGTTTCTTGACCCAGAAACTCAGGAGTCATCCCTGACTCCTCTCTTTTCTCAATCACCACCTTAGTTCACTGCATTGCCTGCTGGTTTTACACTAAAAACACAGCTTGATCCATGTGCAGCTCCCCTCACCACCACCACCCCCCTAATCCACACTGGCAGAGCTCATCCAGGTGGCTGCACAAAATCCCAGTCGTCTTCTTGCTTTCTTGTCCCTCTTTAGTTCATTTTCCACCCAGAAACCAGATGCCGAGAGAGCGTATCATTTCCTTTGCTAAAGCTACCCAGTCCTTTCCCACTGTTGTTAGAATAAAATCCAAACTACTTTCTGAGCTATACAACTTGGCCCCTGCTGCCCTTCCCATCCTCACTGTGAAACTTTCTCCCACTGGGTCAACATGTTCTTGCTACCTTAACCTTCGGCTATTTCTAGAGGATGCCAAGCTGCTTCCAGCATCAGGGCCCTTGTCATTGCTCCAGGATTGCTGCTGGAGACATCCTTCTCATCTGGTGGGCTCAGCTCAGAGCATGTCCGTTGTGGAAGGCCTTCTGGTCACCCGGGCTAAAGTAGGTCCCCTCCTTCTACCCCTTTTCAGTTCCTCCTCATTTACCTAGTAGCACTTACTATTATCTGAAATTACCCTTCTTGTTTGTTTGCTTGTTAATCACTGGTCTCTTTCCAATTAGACTCTAGTCCCCACCATGGGTCATAACCTTCTCGGTCTTGTTCACCACTAAACCCCAGCACCCAGGATGGTGCTTAGCATATGACAGGCCCTGGGAACAGATGTGTTGAATGGATGCAGGACTACTTTGTGTAGAAAGTAGTTCAGGGACTTTGCAGTGTCCAGGGGAGCTCAGGCTCTCTCTCTATCAGTCTACAGCTCTGTGACCATTCTCAAAAACAACTTTCTCGGGGATTCCCTGACCAGAGGCAGACAAGACCAGACATTGACTCAGGTGATAAGTACATATTCCTTTTCACGTTTGTGTTGCTCCTCTGCTTCCTTCATCATTTCTTGCGCCTGCTCGAGTTTTGCATCGACCAGCTTCTGCTGCAGTTCTCTGTGTTTAAATATTTTGTCCAAATGCTAAAGAAAAAACAAAGTGCACATATCAAGTTTGACTTGTTATTGGTGCTGAAACGTGTCAAATAAAGTAATATTCATATAAACACACATTCTCCAGGTTTTAAGGTTTTAAAAAAGAGGGACTACGTGCTTTGGCATCCTTACGGCTCTGTAGAAGAGCAATAGATTGGTGAAGTCCCCTGCATTTTGCATACGCAAATATGCTAGCAAAAGGTGGGGGTGCCAGAGTTCAGCAGTCATAACTCCAAAGTTCCCAACATTATTCATCTAAATTTGGTGACTATCATGCCAGGCAGCACAGACAGTGATGTATATCATAACAGCACCATCACTCGGTATTCGGACTCTTTCCATGAATATTAAAACCACTTTTAAGCACAACAATAATATAGTTTATCAGGGTGAATTGTCCTCCACATCCCCCATGTTCTTGCTTCAGGTCGGGAGGAAGTTCTGGGATACCAGCGTGTGGCCCTGGATCAGTGGCTAAGGCAGAAGCCCCCTGACTCCAAGTCTGTTGCTCTGGTGGGCAGCACAAGGCCAAGGGTCACATGAGTTGATATGCAAACATGCTGCTGTGTGACTCCACCCACACCTTTTGACATCTCTGCTAGCTTGGTGAAGAGAGGCTTCCAACTCTACGCCAGCATGGAGAGTTCCTTGGTCATCAGGAGGTCCCATTGGCAAGAGGACATATGGAGTTCTACCTGTGGCCCTTACGAGAACCAGTTCCAGAAGTATACGACCAGCCTACCAGGCCATTCCCATTTGAGATCTTTCTGAAGATACGGCTATTTTCTTTTTAGCTCCTTCTTTTTTGCTTTTGCCTGACCTCCACTCTGGAGCAGGGTTGATCTCTGTGGCAAGCTGAAATGGCCGCGTGGCACTCTGACTTCTTATGGGGAGTTTCTTGATCTACCTACGTGGTGCTGCCACACGCCATTGGCCCAGCTGTTTCCTTAGCATGCTGCCAATAGAACCACTTGGACTAAGTCATGTTACATTTTAAAACACAGATCTAAAATTTGGGTGAGATGAGAAAACTGATATGATAGATTAAAATCCCGATGGGACTTCAGGTATCTTAAAAACATATGAAATATTAAAATATAATTTTGGAATAATGAAAGATCCCAATAGTCTCCTTTAGGTTAACTATTAAAGCAAAACTCCTCTGACTTTTGTGACTGTGGGAGATATAATCTCATAGCCTTTGCCTCCCATCTATAGAAAGTTGATAATATGTTATTACCTAGTGCATAAGATTGTTGAGACAATTAAATGACGTATTGTATGTATAGTTCTTAGCACATGGCTAAAACTAAGCTCTGAATAAATAATACCAGAATAATTCTAATTATCACATTATTAATACTAGTATTGGCTTGTGGGGTATATAGAATACTGATCATTAATGACATGGTGATGCTTAAGAGGGGGTGTGTGCAATATTTCTTGCCTCTGTAGAGAGCATTTAAAAAAGGCTGAGGATAACTGAGCTCCCAGCCCACCACTTTCTATTTACTGCCTTGCTCTGCCTTTGCTCTCCAGTTTTGAAGAAATTCCATATGACTTTCAGCCAGGTATTTTGCAATACCATCTGTTTTTATTTGGCTAGCAGAAGGCATCCAATCCTAAATATTAATCAATTGAGAAGGCTGGCCATAACTTTCTTATTAAGCGTGTTCCCCACCTTCACAACCCAGATCAGGATCTGTCTCCAGCACTTCGAAGTTGTTTGATGTGGTTCTTACCTCCTCCCTGAGCTCATACTGATCAATGATGCTTTTCAGTTTCTCTGCGAGCTCTGTGTTCTCCTGACACAGCTTCATATTCCGCTCACTCTGCTGCTCAATCTGGGCCTGGATATCTGTCAGGGTACTCTGGAAATGATTCGTGATCTCCTTTCTTTTCTCTTCCTCCTCCCGTGCCCGCTGAAGGGTTTCCTCCTGTGCATAAACAGCAAAATCTCTTGTAATACTGGTTTACACACACCTCGGGTTCATAGAACTCAGGGTTAGGTCAATAACAGGAGATTCGAGTGCAGGGGAAACAGGATGGTTTTTCAGTTCTCTAGAGCTATGTCACTCGGCCTCAGAATAAATGTATGAGCAAAGGTTTCCGTTGCGAACACACAGTCACTCGGAGCAGGTGCAGGGAGAGCCTTGAATGTGATAGCTGGTGATGAACAGGCTTGTTTTGAAGATGACGGGTCTCCTGCGGAGTAAATAAACTGCAGTGATTTCCAACAAACATGCCGTCGCCCGGGTTTGATCTCTTGGCTGTTGCCTGGGACAAAAGGCCACTCGGTTTTACTGATAGATGAGACAGATCATGTGTTCCTTTGGTTGGTACAGAAAGAATAGATCTTTTATTCCTCTATAAAATTATGACATGGGAAACACATAATTGTATTACCCAAGTTTTGTAAATATAAGTGATCACAATATAAACTTCGACTTGGTAAGGAAAGAACGTTCATCAAATAACTTGAAAAGGAAACTAAGATAGCTAGAGATCAAGTACAGCAATAAAAAATATGAGAGGAAATCTTAGAACATATGCTGGATATTTTATTTCTGAAGAACGATCATCCCACCTGCCATGTAGAGGAATTGAAATAGTCAATGTAAATTTTGAATCTGAAAACAATATTAAATTTCAAATCTTTAACTCTAAAACAAAACACCTAATTCCCCATCTTCCACTTTGCTAACATTCAGGAATTGAAAGTTAACTTTTATGTCATTTCTGTTCTCTTTTCTCTTAATCAAAACTCTCCCTTCATTGCTAACTACTAACAATGTACCCATATTTTCTCTATATCTATATTGGGAATTGTTTGCTTTGTGATTATTCCTCTCATTCTTTTAAAATAAAGGGGTGTAATCTTGCTCCATCATACCAAAGATAGAGACATTGATGACAAGTGATACAGACATTTTAGGATTCCTTTCAGTTCTGGTTAATTGTTATTATGAAAACTTGCTTCATTGTTGGCAAGTAAAATTATACTGCATGTAGTTGCCTACCAGGATCAAATTATGTAACAAGATTTAAAAAAAACACGATGATTTAAACAAATAATTGTGCGAATCTTTATTATGATAGTAGAATAATGTGATCCAAATAAAAATTGATGCTGAAAGCGTATGTTCTGGAAATATTTTAATTTATCATTAGCTGTCCTCTTTTCTTTACAATACTAACATAGTTCCTAACTTTAATATGACTCCTGGTATGAGAATCATATTTTATTCATGACATAAACACTTCTTGGGAGACAGTATCTTAAGGATATTGTAGAAGACAGGTGTACTTCCTAATCTGGAGAAATTAGTGGTCAGAGATGTTATGTCTCTGAACTCAGTATGCTACCACTTACTATACATATTTCACTAAAAATGATACAGCCATTTGTTAAGAACAATTGGCTATAAATATGGTAGTGCTTGTTTCCTCATTGCTCCTAATTAGCTTAGAAGTCAACAGGTTCCTAGTCGTAGCATTACAGGCCATGATCTGAATGACATCTGCATTTGTAACAATTCCATCCACAAATGAGTAAGTCAATGGAAGAAATATCCCATGCTACTCAGTAAATCTGAGCTTTTCACTGGCAACTGCATACAGAAAGAAGGTATGCATGTTGTGAGGCTGTTGAACACATGTCAGCTGTGGCTGGTTTGGCCCAGCACTTAGAGCATTGGCCTGAGGACCAAAGAGTCGCAGGTTCGATCTCCAGCCTGGTTAGGGTTGTGTGGGAGGCAACCAATTGATGTGTCTATCTCACATCAATGTTTCTCTCTCTTTCTCTCTCTCCCTCCTTCCCTCTCACTCTTTTTTTTTTTTTAATCAATGGAAAAATATCCTCAGGTAAAGGTTAAAAAAATAAAACACATATTAAATCATCATGACATCCATTCCTGGCCTACAAAATGGCATCTTGTATTTGACATGTAATTTTTTTTTTTTATCCTCACCCGAGGACATTTTTCTATTTTTTATTCAGATAGAGTGGGGGGTGGGGAGGAGAGGGAGAGAGAGAGAGAAACATCGACATGAAAGGGACACATCGACTGGCTGCCACCCACACGACCAACCAGGGCCGGGGACAAACTGCAACCGAGGTATATGCCCTTAGCGGGAACCGAACCCGGGTCTCACTGGACCGCAGGCCTACACTCTAACCACTGAGCCGAACCGGCCAGGGCTGTAATTTGTTTTTTAATAAAAGAAAAATAAATCTAATCTTACAAAATCTGAGTTAATTGAGAAAAATGCAATCATTTGAATGGTATCTGAGATGAAATTTTCTTTTCAAACACATTATTCAAAGTGAAAATTATTGCAGAGAGGATTGAGGGACAAAGTTTGAATACTTCAGAAAATAAACTCTGTGAGCATCATTGTCCCCCTTAGAACCGGCACTGTTCCCAGCATGTGATCCACAGGTGCTCAGTAAGTGTTTTCTTAATGAATCATTAATTTATATGTAGATATATGAGTAGCTTGAACTAGATGATTCTTATAGTCCTTTCCACCTTAAAATTCTGTGAAATTCTGTCATAACAAATTGTACTTATACCTTTACTAAAATAATGTTGCCGGAGACACCCATTCCTCATAGGGCAGTTCTTTCTCAGCATAATTTGAGGCTCAGATTTATTGCTTTGAATATTGCTTTGAATAGTATTTTATTGAAATGAGTCCACATTTCAGACTTTCACTGGTCTTTTTCTAAATTATTTTAAATTGTGAGGTTTTGTGGAGCTTTTGACTCATTGAAGAATCCATTTTAATAAGGATGAATAAGCATGAAATTTTATGGTGGTGGAAAGATCCTGCTACGTGTTCTCTTTCTGTATCTTCCCAAGTTTCTAGCATTTTCAATTTAGATATACTTAGGCTGTTTCACTACTATGGCCAAGGAAGCTTATGCCGTGCTGACCCTTCTGTAGATGACAACTATGAACGCTGGGCAAAGTGTCAGAAACAACCACCTACAGACTCTGGAGAGTAAACAAACCAGGTGGGTTCTGGAGGGAGGTCTACACCTGTGAACATGGAATAGTACACTGTAAGTTTCCCATTTCCACACCGTTAGCCCGAGGGAAGACTGCGTTGGCAGCTGTGGAGTGGGTAAAATTCTCATAGAAAAACCTGAATTTCTGGTCTGAAGAATAAGAGCACAGAGTATTGGGCGACTGCAGCTCCTGGAAGGTGAGGGGAGAGTCTTAGGAAGGAGAGAGTCAGAGTGAGGGAGCCATACATTCCTTAAGGAACCGCTGTCCAAATCTTGGGCTGACCCTGCCCCACAAATATGCATGGTAGACGCAAAGCAGTCTAGCTGAGGGAAAAACGGAGATTTGAGTTGCTGCTCAAGAGAGGGAACTGGTAGTTTGACTCTCACCAAGTTAATTGCCTGCTTCAAAAAATTCAGCATTCTTCAAGGAGTATCCTAGAAACCATGTTCTCCACAACATAACAGCCACAACATCCAGCATATAATCTACAATGACTTGAAGAACCAAGAAAATGTGACCTATTCTAAAAAGAAAAAAATATTCAGAGGAGGCCTATTCCATAATAGCCCAGATGTGGAATCTTCAGACGAGAATTTTAAAACAGTTGTTATAACTGTGCTCATTGATATAAAGGAAAATATTATCTCAAGGAATGAAAAAATAGGAAGTCTCAGGAAAGAAATATTATCTATAAGAAAGAAGCAAATGGAAATTCTGAAGTTAAAGTTACAAAATATGAAATTTTAATATCACTGGGTAGACTTAGAAAAGAATAGATATTAGAGAGGTAAGAGTCAATGAATATGAAGATAGGCAAATATAAATGATCTAATCTGAAGACAAAAGGGAAAAAAGGATTGGTGAAAAACATAAAGAGAAACTTAAAGACACTTATCAAAAGGTCTAACACACGTGGAATTAGACTCTCAGAAGGGAAGGCTAGAGAGACAAAGGGACAAAATTTTGAAGAAATAATGGTTGAAACTCCCCCAAATTTGGTGAAAGATATAAACTAGAGATTCAAGAAACTCAGTACATCCCAAGTAGGATAAATATGAAGAAAACCACACTTAGGCATAAAGGATTCATATTCTAAAACCCAGAAATCAATAGAAAAACCTTAAAAGTATCCAGAGGTAAATGACATATTATATAAGGGAGGACAAGAATTCAAATTATTGTTGATTTCCATAACTAAATTATGGAGGCCAGAAGACAGAAACTTTAAAAGGCTGAGATAAAGAAAGAGAAGGAAAACAAACAAACACTTTTCAACCCCAAATCCTATATCTAATTAATATAGCCTTCAATAATAAAAGCAAAATAAAGACATTTTATAGATTAAAAAAACTAGTAAGAGAACTGATTATCGGAACACCTGTATTTTAAGAAATACTGAAGGAAGTTTTCAGGCTTAAGGGAATGACACCAGACGGAAATGTAAAGCTTTGGAAGGAATAAAAAGCACCAGAAAGGTAATTATCTGGGTAAATAAAAAAGACAGTTTGTTTTTAATTTTTAAAGAAATATACATACATAATATTCAAAATAAAAATTATAAAATTGCCTCACAGGCTTCATAAATGTATGAAAACGTAATACTTATAACAATTACAGCTTAAAGGCAGGGGCAATAAATGGACCTTTTTAGTTGCAATGTTTCTACATAGTATATGAAACAATAAATACAGTCTTAACTCTAGGTAGACTGTGAAAAATTAATGTGTATTGTAATCATAGAGAAACCACTAAAAATGCAAAAAGATATAATTAAAGAACCAAGAGATAAATTAAAAAGGAATAAAAATATTCAAATAATTCTAAGGAAAGCAGGAAAAGAACAGAACAGAACACAGAGGTGACAAATAGTGAATAAATAAGAAAACTGTAGATGTGTATCTAAGCATTCCAATAATTACATTATATGTTAATGAATTAGTGTGCTAATTAAGTGGCAGATACTATAAGAATTAAAAGAAACAAAGTCCAACATACACTATCTATAATAGATGCCCTTTAAACATAGACCCAGGTTGAAAATAAGTAGATGGAAAGAGATATACCAGGTAAACAATAAGAAGAAAACTCAAGTGGTAATATCGATATCCTGTAATGTAAACATCAGGATAAAGATCATTGCTGAAAGACACTCCATAGTGAAAAAACAGTTAAGTCATCAAGGTGACATAATCATAAGTATGTATATACATTATATTCACACTTCAAAATACACAAAGTAAAAATTGACATAATTAAAAGAAGTAGGCAATTCCACCATTAGGAGATTTTTACTATCCACCCCTCAAAAATTAATAGAACAACTAGACAAAAATTCAGTATGTATATAAATGATCTAGAGCCAATTGTTACTTATGCAACATACACCTACTAGCTGAACATTTTTTTTCAGAACATATAGTATGTTCATCAAGATAGACCGTATATGATGGGCTATAAAAACGAACCCTTCTGAATAATGCATGGATCAAAGAAAAAATCAGAAGGGAAATTAAGAAATATTTTAAATTTTAATCCTGATTTTGTCACTTAAAATATGCATGACCTTGACCAACTAATTTAAATTGCTGAGTCTCAGTATTTTCAATAAAAGGGAGATGTAACCTTCATAAGGTTGTGGTGAAGAATGAATAAAATAACATATAGAGTATTTAGTACATAATAATGACACTAAACTTCATTGCCCGTAACTGGAAGCCATTATTGAGGGTGTGTGGGTGTTCCCACAGGGTCCCCTGCCCCTTCCATCATTCTGTCTTTGAATGCCACCCGAACAGAACACAGCCCATTATATAAATCTCTTTGTTGACCAATCTTCCCCCTGTTTCTGATTTAATCTCCCCTCCGTGGAGCACTGCTGAAAGCCAGGAGACGTAGGGAAGCATGGAGCTCTATTACTTGAACACATCCCCTGAGTTGAGGGTGATGCTGCTCTTCCCAGGACTCATCTAACGTCAGCTTTGACTGTCCTAGGAGCAGCAATTGGGGAGAGGCCAGAAGCCTTCCCTTACAACTCAAAATCTAAGAGTTCGAGTTCATCACACTCGCCTCCCATTTCCCAGATATCAAAACAAGCAATTTTCAAATACGAGGAGACATTATTCCCTTCTACCTCCCCCCCCCCCCCTTCATGTACAAACTCAGCAATGATCTTAATTTCTCTGTTTCTTTAAGTATTTTCTTTTAAACACATGTATTAATAATTCTCTCCCAGGAACGTTGGCATCTAGTTAATTTTTGTTTGTCAAAAACTTTAGGATCTTCAGCTGCAAAGGGGATTGTGGATGCATGTAGCATTATCTTAAGAGAGCCCTGCATCTTGCTCCGTTGAATGGAGCTAGTGTCTGTGTGTAATCAAATTAACCACACTGTTAGAGGCTTACGCGGTAATTAATGAAACCCGTGCAGGCTGAATGAAGTGGTCAGTCTGTTATTTTTAGATTGAATAATTAAATCCGGAGAGCTTCAAGTGTCTCCTCAAGTAACTTCTGTTTTCAGATGACTATTGACGTTTGGGCTCTTAATTTTGCTTTCCCGTGTGTATTAGCTATGTGTCAATTTAATTCACGTCATGCAGATTTCATTATTGATAAAAAAAATGTTGCATTTTGACATGCTTGTGTTTTAAAGAGCAGAACGAAGGCCTGCCTTAGAAAACAAAGTTAAACAAGCTCAACATAAGCAAAAGGTAAGGGGAATGGCACACACCTTCCGAAAGGCCTGTGCTGTCGGGTACTATGTGGGCACCTTACGTTATGTGTCCTAATTTAATGCCACCCCAACTGCACAGTGAAGTTGCTATACCCCCCATTCTCTGGATGAGGAAACAGGCTTGAGGAGGGAAAATAATTTATTGAAGGTTACAAGTGAGCAAGTGGCAGGGTTAGTATTTAAACCCGTCTCTCTGATTCTGAGTCTCACGCTCTTTCCACGAGGAGCGGAGGCCTGTGTCTGTGCAGCACGCGACTGCGTGTCATGCGGGCCCTGGGTGACACGTACCTTCAGTGTCTTGTTGTGTCTCTGCAGCTCCCGACACAGACTCTCCAGTTTGCTTCGCGCCAGGACAGCTCTGCTGTGTTCACTTTGTAACTGGTCCTTTTCTTTCTGGATTTGCACTTGTTTCTTTTGTAGGAGCCTCAGCGTCTTTTGTTCAGTGCGATGTTCGTCCAGCTAGACAGGGGCGTGCAAATGTGAAAGAAAATGGCAGCGGTCTCTTTGGAGTTGATAAAAAAGGAGCCAGAGAGGAAAATGCCTAGAGATCATCACTCTGTGGCTGTTTGGAAATCTTTTCTTTGCTATTATTACTGTCCCTCTGGAATCAAATGGACCTCACCAATGTTACCTTTTGGTACTTGTAGATATGGTTTTCACAACATAACATTTCCAGGTTTTCCCTTATCATCACTAGTATCATTGATCTCTTCTTACTTTTATCCTCTTTTTCATGGTCTAGAAAGAGCCTTAGCTTTCTTGAGTCTTTCTAATGATGCCCGTCAATGTTAGAAAGGCATGTCTCGGAACCCGTCAACTGCCAGAAGTCATAGTAATCAGTGCCTTGCTTCGGGGCAGTGGTCAATGTGTGTCTGCTTGGTTTACCTTTAGTTTCCAATATTTTTTTCTCAAAATAAGCTTATAGCAACTATTTTAAAAATTAGGAAAGAGAAAAGCAGTAAATAGAAGATGAAGCCTGTGAGTTGTGAGACGGGGGGAGAAGAGAAAGTCCACCTTGACGTTCTAAGCACTGACGACTTGTCACCAACGCTTCGGAAAAAACCACTGCACCACTTAACAGCACGAATGACTCTGTCTGTAACATGCCCTGCTCTCCGTCCACCCACCTGCCCTTCATGCTTTGGCTGAATACGTCATGACAGTTGTTTCTGCTGAGCATAGGTGGGGCCTCCCCCCACCCCCCGGCCCATAACTGAGTATCAGAGACAGCGTGGAATATGGAACCCCTGGACTTTCCAGCTCAGGATGCTCAAGTTATGGGGTAGGGTTGCCAGATAAAACATAGGACCAGTTCAATTTGAATTTCAAATAAATAAGGAATCTTTTTTTTTTTTTTGTAAAAGTATATCCAAAATATTGCATGGAACATACTTTTACTAAATAGATTTGTTGTTTGTTTACCTGAAATGAAAAGTTAACTGGACATTCTGTATTTTTATTTGCTAAATTTGGCAACATTTTTTTTTTTAATCCTCACCCAAGGATATGTTTTTTCTTGATTTGAGAGAGAGAGGAAGGGAGAAAGAGCGCGAGAGAGGAACATCAGTTGGTTGCCTTCCCTGTGTACCCCAGCCAGGTATGCGCCCTGACCGGAATAGGACCCGCAACCTTTTGGTATACGGATCGATGCTCCATCAGACTGAGCTACTGAGCCAGGGCAAATTTGGCAATGTTTCTATGGAATGCTAGTCAGGTTGGGGCAGTTTGCAGATCACCCTCAGCACCCAGGGATTGTCATACTCCAGGAGTGTGGGTCTCCCAGACTGACAGACAGTGGGACCACGTGCAGTGCAGTCTTCCGTACAGAGCCATGTCCTGCCAGACTCAGTCCGACTGCCTGGTGAAGCCAGGTCCATACCTGTGTAATAATGACCGACTGGCCAGGGAAGAGGAGAAGCCCTGGGCAGGCCCTCTGTGCTTCAGGACCACAGCTGTTCCTGGAGCCTCACAGAGCCGGGGGCAAATGGACACACACGCGGTGTGACCCTGATGTGTCTCCGTTAGCCTATCTCGAAGAAGCATTTGTTCTTCGTGAACTGCATGAACAGACCGTCACACTTTCTTCAGTTCACAAGGTATCTTACTCCTGCCACACTGAAATGTTCATGATAAATCCTTGCCACATTAAACGGGAGATATTCATACATGATATTCTATCTTCATACTTGCGGGCAGTTTTTAATTATTAGTGAGAATTAGCATCGGGGAGAACTAGGCTCATACTACTATAAATATTGATTAAAATGGATATCCTTCATGTTCAGTTGGAAAATCAATGATATTTTATTATATATTTTTCATGCTCACCTGTTCATAGGATACGTGAGGTCCTTTCATTTTGTACATGTTTATTAGGCAGGGGTAAAATGTCTCCTACATATGTTTAAACTTGAAATGACCTATTGTCCTTTGTTGAAATTTATATATTGTTATTGCCTTTATGGTGTAGACTTTACCTTTTGAAGATTAAACCACATGTCAGGGTTTCTCAGCCTTAGCACTACTGACATTTGGAGCCAGATAATTTTCTGCTGTGGGGCTGTCCTGTGCACTGAGGGGTCAAATTCCTGACCCCTGCCCACTAGATCCAGGCAGCACTTCCTCACCCCCCTCCCCACTGGACATCCAAAATATCTCCATCAGATACTGCCTATCATCCATGGTGGGCAAAACTGCCCCTTTTGGGGGAACACTGCCCTCTGTGATTTGTCTGAGCATCAGGAGGAAGATATGTGTTTCATAAGCTGGAAGAGATCTGTGCCTGTTCATAAACATTTTTTTTTTTTTTTAATCCTCATCCGAGGACATTTTTCCATTTTTTGTACAGACAGTGTGGGAGGGAGAGAGAGGAAGAGAGAGAGAGGGAAACATCGATGTGAAAGGGACACTTCGAGTGGCTGCCACCCGCACGACCAACCAGGGCCGGGGACAAACTGCAACCGAGGTACATGCCCTTAGCGGGAACCAAACCCGGGTCTCTCCGGACCGCAGGCGGACGCTCTAACCGCTGAGCCAAACCGGCCAGGGCTGTTCATAAACATTTAATGTTGTAGTTTATGCAAGATCATACACATCTGAAATTTAGCAAGGTCTATCTTGCTTTGCTCTAAATAAAAACCCTTAGCGCTTTGACAGTATTTTATTTTAGAGTATGGCTAATTTTGTGTAATTACTTCCGACTTACATGAATGTGCATGAAGTTTATTGATGAATGGAAGCAAACACATTGTAACTGAGTCAACTGCAGTCAGACACTGGCTTTGTGATCTAATAACACAGTTCGACAGTTCTGCACGATTGTAACAGGCACATAGGATTTTGATCTGCAAGGTCTCTTGTGCTATCTTTTGTGTTATTAAATTTAAAAAGTAAAATTAGTGCCAAGGACTAAATCAGAATAGTATTAGTGATGTTGTTGTAATTACATTAGAATTGAGAAAATTTGCAAAAAACATTTCCTCCAGCTCGTTTTTTTTTTTTTTAATTTAGTCATAAGGTGTTCTTCTTTATTAATAAACGTGTCCTTATTTATTAATGAACACCGCAGTAAAAAATATTACAGAATTCCAAACCTGTGAGGATGAGCGAGCTGCAGTGGTAGTTTGATTCACAACTTTTCATCTGATGACTTATTCTATGTTAACACTTATATTTCAGACACTTTCTATATTAATATTCAAATCAGTGAGCAGGGAAATAGGTTTTGGTCTCCAAGTAAAAGATTAAAATTTCTCATAATTTTTTCTCTCTGGAAAGGAAATGTAATGGGGTTTGGGGGTCAATGTTCTCCTATTCATTTTTTCTGGAATGATCTTTGGGGTTTTAATGTTTATTAGACATGATACAAATGCCAAAGTATAGTAAGTAAGGCTTGACTTGAGGAGGATCCCTGGAAAAATAACCTCTGTGTGGATGGCTGCTTGGCTAGATGGGTGGGCAGCTGCCGGGAATCCCCTGAGACCAGGGTGAGCAGCCCTGGCTTTGGAAGAAAATCTCGGGCAGAGTAGGAAGTGCTTCTTCTCCAACATACTGCTGTGGGGCCGCGGCACCACGCACGGCTTGCTGTGCGAGTCTAGAATGCCATCCAGTCCAGTCAAGAATGGAGCATGGTGCTAGAAACCAAACATGAATGCTGAAGCGGCAAAGGGAAAACAATGTGGAAAATATGGAAAAGAGCAGGATGAACAGATGAGAATTGGAGCCATATTTTTTTTTGAAAAATGTTATTTTTGACACCTCGGTTATTTTATGGCACTGAGATTGTTCATAGGTGGTCAACAGCCCATATTAAATAAGTTGCAATGAAATTGATACACTGATGCTTGCTTTGTAAATTTCTGCCATTCTTTTGGGAAGCAACATGGCCATAAACACCCCAAAAACAAAAACAAAAAAGGCATTCATACTGTTCGGTTCAGTCATTCCAATTCTGGAAAATTGTTCTAATCTCATAAAAAAGAAAGAGAGGACCAAATCAAATGCGTGATGATGTCCACTGCAGCAAATAGTGGATGGAATCATCAATGTCCCCAAATTAGAGAACCAGTAGATATGGCCCTTCGTGGAAAATGACTACGCTGTTACAAAATATAACTATGGAGACTATAAATTATATGGGAAAATATCTGTCGTCTGAGCCAAAAATACCAGATTCCAAATTATAGTTGACCCTTGAACAACACGGGTGTGAATTGCATGGGTCCACTAATATGTGGAATTTTAAAAATAAATATATATAGTACTGTAAATGTATTTTTTAAGTGATTTGAGAGAGAAAAAGAAACATCAATTTGTGGTACCCCTTATTTATGTATTCATTGGTTGTTTTTTTAAAATTATTTTTTCTTTATTGATTTTAGAGAGAGAGGAAGGGAGAGGAAGAGAGAGATAGAAACATCAATGAGAGAGAACATCAATTGCCTGCCTCCTGTATGCCCCTCAGTGGGGATCGGGCCCACAACATGGGCATCTGCCCTGACCAGGAATTGAACCTGCAACCTCTTGGTGCCTGGGTTGATGCTCAACCATTGAGCCCCACCGGCCGGGCCATTGGTTGCTTTTGTATGTGCCCTGACCAAAGATCGAACCAGCAACCTTGGTGTATCGGCATGATGTTCTAACCAACTGAGCTTACAGGCCAGGGAATTCTATTTTTCTTGCTCTTATGATTTTCTTAATAACATTTTCTTTTCTCTAGCTTATATTATGGTAAGAATACAATATATAATATATATAACATATCAAAATATGTGCTAATTGACTGTCATCAGTAAAGCTTCCGGTCCACAGTAGGCTATTAGCAATTAAGTTTTCGGGGGGTTGAAACTTATACTCGGATTTTTAACTGTGCAGGGGGTCAGCGCCCTAAGTCCTGTGTTGTTCTAGGGTCAACTGTAGATGGAACTCGTGATGGTCATTAAATTAAAGGTGTCTCTGCTTATATAACAGAACTGGAAAGGAAGATGGGTAAATCAAAGTTTGCGTTTTTAATTATGGGATTAGAGATACTTTTACTTGAATTGTATATTCAACCTTTTTCTTATATCATGATGATGTAGGTTATGTAATGAAAAAATAATTGAAAAGTACTGTTGGCAAAGTTAGGCAGTCAGCCAGCCACTCGGGGTTTCAGAATTTCTGCGGGTCTACTGCAGAGACAGCTCAGCATAACAGGATGCCTCGAGATAAACGGAAGAAAGGACGGAACAAACAGGGATTATAGGACTAAAGTTAGAGTGAAAAGGGAGAAAAACCAGGCCACTCATTAAATTCTACTCCATCAGTGGGGAGACAATGTGCACAGGGACCTGAGGGGTTTGTGGGCCTGAAGCTTATCCAGTGCTAGAAGCCCACTTTTAAAAACCACAAACCCCAAACAAACAAAAACATAACTAAGGAAAGAGAAGTATTTCCGAGGCTTCAGAGAGCCCGTGCCAGAGAGGGGCCCTGACTCCCGCTGCTCTGGCCGCTGTTGAGTGTGCCCCGGGGCAGGGCTGCGGGGGAGCTGTCTGTGTGGGGACAGAAGTTCCCTTCTGTCACGTCTTCTCTAAAAGGAATACGTAAGTTAAATATATTCTGAGCAAAAGAAGCAGAAATGAGAGAGAAGCACATTGCCTCACTTCACTTGAGAGGATGCCCCACCTCTTAGCTGTGGGCTTCCACACCGCGTGGGACACAGACCTCTGATGTCACTCCTTCAGCGAGTGTGGTGAGGGTTCCTTGAAACCAGACATGCTGGCTTCACTGAATGCTCCCCTTTTCCATCTTGCCTGTTGAAGGAGTGCTGGTGAGGCAGCAACGCACATCACGGCTTCTCTGATGTCTGGGAGCAGCCTCCCTTCCTCCCAGTAGCCCTGACTTACTGAGAGGGAGCCTGAATGGGGAGGACCTAGAACTGGGCACAATATAGTCCACATCAAACACTTTGCCGTGTGGGGGAGGGGAAGAGAATGTAGATCAAAGAGAATAAATGAATAACTACCTACCTACCTAAAAGTCATCAAGACTTAATGAAAATGTGTCACAAACTGATGGGGTGGGATTAATTCAACCCTCTGCCTTCCTGAGGGGACTCTCTCCAAAAACCTGGGCACAAAACGGAATGAAAGTTTTTTATGTTGAGTGTGTTTCTGTCTTATTGCAAACCCAAAAAGAACCTCAAAATATTCAGAATTGTCAATTATCTGTAGTTCTCTGTTCCATCCCCCAAATCACACAATATTCGAAGATGGAGTAGACTCCCAACAGTATCCTCTTCCCCCTTTCTGCTATCATTTCCCAGTCTTTCTGTTTCTTTTTTCCTTTCCAAGTATTCTGCTTTCATGAATGCTAGCTTTGGCTGGCCTGAGCTAACCAGTCATGGACAGTACTGATGTACCCCCAACACAAGCGGCCATGTCTTCTCAGCTCTAATCAGGGCCTTCAACTTTCTGACAAAAGGAGTGAATCTTACCAGTTCAGCATACTTTTTGAGTAAAAAGTCAAGCTTTTCTTCCGGTGTTTGCAGCTTGTTCAGATTTTGCATTAGCAGGTTGGCTTCTTTGCCTTAAAAGAAAATAAAAAAACATGAAGACATATTTAAAAGCAAGTGTTGAGCTTGAAGTCAGATGATACGGGCTAGAATCTCAGATCGTCTATTTGCTTGTTGCTACCTGCCCCTGACCAAGCCACTTAACCTATCTGAGCCTCAGATATAATTTTCTTCTCCTATAAGAAGGATGACACCTACCGTACAGAGTAAGTGAGGACTAGTTGAGAAGGTGGTGAAAGTGTGTGCATAGTATCAGGCTCATGATAGATTCTCAATATAATAGTAGTCCCCAAGAGTCCATTCTTATTACGCTCCCCCATATTCTAAATGCTCAAAAGAATTTTAAATACTTTAAAATTATTCAAAAGAACAACAACAACAAAAAAACCACTGACTATATAAAAGAACAAACCAGCCTTTTCCCCACATTAATTCATTTTTTAAAAAGAAACAAAACAGTCCATCAAAATTTCTGACTACTGTGAAACAGCCATCATTGATACATGGAGTTGCTATAATTCCAGCTCAAAGCAGAGAAATTTGACAGTTTTATCTGTCTTTTTAGGGGGGTGTTGCTGTTCTTTTAGTACCTCTTTCCTCTCTTTTGGGGGAATCCAATTTCCTGTTTCTGTGCATGAGCCTATTCCATGAGTTTTCGGTAGGAATAACTGATCATATTTCCTACAAAGCAGAGAGTAAAATCAGTAGATAGAAAAAATGGACCCATGACACGCAGGGTCTTCCAGGCCTTTGTGTTTCTCTGGTTACAGGTTTAGCCATCCTGGGCCTTCGCGTCTCCACCCCAGGCCTTAATCTATGTTGGCAGTTTCATTTTCTGTTCCCAGTTGGAGTTTATACTACATTTAAAAACTCATCTGTTCATGATTATTTGATGGGAAGCCTTGGATTCTTTCTTTTCCCCTCATTGTTCTTCCTTCTGTCTTCTTCAGCTCCAACTGCACAGTTTGCCTTTCGGTGGGACCTGGAAGTCTTGCCTTTAAGTAACCATCGGGAGGAGAGGGACCCTAGGCCTCCCTGAGCCGAGTATCTTCTCAAAGTCCCATCAGGGTGGAACAGAGTGACAATCACTCTGTCTGATCAGAGCTGGGTGGTCAAGCCACACAGTAGAGCCCATGTTTCCTGATATAAATCTGCTCAGGAATAGGAACAACTTTGACAACCTTTTCCTCAAGAAAAGTCATTTCCCATTTGCTGCAATTTTTGCTTTCATCCTGGATAGGCATATAAATCGTGGAATTGGGGCTTCTGGATGAAACACAGGACGTGGAATACAGTCGTCTTGAAAAATTTATCTATCGTTTAACAGAAATTAAAATTTCCCTGGGCACTCTTTGTTTTCATTTGCTAAGTCTGCTAACTCAAATGGCCTCAAAGAACTTTAGGTCGAGAAAGAACTTCAAAGAGCACAGACAACTGGTTAAATTTGCAGACAAGAGGCTAAGGCCCAGAGAGCCCAGAGTTACATGATTAGTACTGGCAGGGCCAAGGCCTGGATCCAAAGTTTGTCTTCTTGCTCTAAATCACTTCACTCCCTTGTGGAATTTTGATGCCAGGGAAACCGAGAGAAATAAAAGGAAACTATTTTTGAAAAAAAAAAATGACCTCATCCCTAACAGCTGGGTTCATCTCTCTTTGCCCAGTGAGTCAGTTCAGATTAGAGGAGGGAGAAGGTGGGTGCGAGAGGCGCCCCAGCAGCTCCGCGGTGCTGGCCGGGCGCAACGTGCGCCTTCAGACGGATAGTGCTGCTGCCTCCCCACCCTGCCCAGGCCTGCGCTTCAGCCATTTCTCTGGCTGAAGAGTCGTATTTGTAGGGTGCGGGTCTGGCCGAACCTCCACTCTTGTCTTCAGTCTGTGGAAGGTGCCCACATGAAGACTGCTGTCTTGACTTAGTGTCGTTTGTGAACGGCGGGACCCTGTGCTGTTGATCAGATCTGGTGCAGGATCCAGCGCAGTGGTCCGAGACAAGAGCTCAGTAAATGTCGGTAATAAAAGAACAAAACAAAGCCAGTCAGTGCGCACTGGCGTCGTGTCAATCACAGGAACACTGTCTGGAAGGCAGCTGTGTGATTGACGAGAGCCGCGGTTCTCCACCTGTGGGTCGCAACCCCTGTGGGGGTCGAAGGACCCTTTCACAGGGGTCACCTAAGACATAACAGTAGCAAAATTACAGTTATAAAGTAGCAACGAAAATAATGTGATGGTTGGGGGTGACCGCAACGTGAGGAACTGTATTAAAGGGCCGGGGCACTGGGAAGGTTGAGAACCACTGGACTAGAGGAAGGACGGGTCTTACTGTGGACTGTGACATTTAACGCAGCGTGAGGAATGACACCGAAAACCATACGTGTCTCCTTTGGGGGAGATAGAGACACTTCAGTGAGTTCAGTGGCTCTCTTCCTCCCCACCCTGACTTTTCTCCTTTTTGTTTTCTTTAACTATGAGAAGAGGCTTGTTTTCTTTTATCGTTTTCTGTTATCACCCTCACTGAGGCCTCATCTCATATGCTGTTATTTTGTATAGAAGATTAACCTTCAGAAACATCGATCTACCTTTCAAAAGTGATTTTTTCCCCTTCAACAACAACAACAAAAAAAAAATCCAAGAAATTAGAACCAGGCATGTGAAGAATCCATAAATTTGTGACATCAGAGAACGTAGTTTTTAAACGTTCATTGATTTTGCCGGACGGGAGTAGTATGTGGGGTTAGAAGAGGGGGATGGACAGAGAGATTTGCTTATCTTCTAAGAAAGGCTGTAGTTACAGTTCCACGGACAGGGCTCATTTGGGAATGGTGCTGGACACAGGAGGAAAAATTACTTCATTCAGTGACGTGTATTGGGAGATGATGGATGATCTGCCTTCTCCCCAAATGTGTCTGTCATTCTAATCTAAAGCGATGCGATTGTGAGATTAGTCACAAAGAAAACAAGGGGTGGACCTGAAGTCCTCATTAAAGCTGGGCAAGGTATATGGTGGCACATGGCCACCAGCCCACAGAACGCTCAGATTGATTATAAGTCTCCACTAAGGTAGAACGACCCGTGCGCCAAGAACAACCTGTGACTCCGGCTGTGGCCACTGGCACCGTTGTACATGGAGGGAATACTGGCATATGACAGAATGATTTCCACATCAATGAAACCCAAAGCCTTAAACTAAGAGGATGAATTTAGCTATAGAAATGTGAACGGAGATTTTTCTTAAACTTTTAGCAGAGTGATGAGTATTTATGCAATGTTTGGTGACAAATTATGTAGATTTAACGAGTGCTCAAAACTATGCTTTTTCTCTTGCAAAATTATCTTTTAGAACTTTGGGGCTAAAATGTGGCCTTAGATGCACATGTGCGCCTCTCCTCTCTCTTCCCAATGTCCAAGAGTGGTGGATGAAGATTTAAGCAGGAAAAAGACGGAATGTTCTTTTCAAATGTTAGACCCAGAATCATATTACAGTATTAACTTTGTTTTCCTGCTAACATAACTTAAAGATAGTGAATTCAATACCAATAATTCCTGAGCACCTATAGATATCTTATAAGGGAAATAAGAATGGATAGATGTAGACAGGAAGGATAGTGTAGTTAAATTCACAAGGACTCAGGTTGGGGGACCTGGGTGCTAGGACTAGCTCTGCATAGTCAACCAGTTCAGTAACTTTTTAAAAAATTTACAGACTCTTAAACTCTCTGGACCTCATTTTCCTTTTAAAAAATATACATATTTTTATTAATTTTTTAGAGAGAGGAAGGGTGAGAGAGAGAAACACCCATGAGAGAGAGAAACATAGATTAGCTGCCTCCTGCACACTCCCTAGGGGATCGAGCCCACAACCCAGGCATGTGTCCTGTCTGGGAATCAAACCAGAACCACTCGGTCCACTGAGCCACACTGGCTGGGCTGGCCTCATTTTTCCTGAAATTGGTGGGTTGACTAACTGGATTCTGAGTTTAGCCTCTAAGATTTGATGATTCCATGACTGAAATAGCTTTAACTGTGTTTAGCTTGATTTAGAGAACAACAAAAAATAACATTGTTTGGTTGGCATATTTGCTTACCTCAAATGTTTTGATCCACTTTTAAAATGTATAAAGATGACTCTCTTACCCCTCACTGCCACCTCTCATGGTCATGGTTTTGTTTGTTGTACTTGGTTTTATTAACTACACCAGTTTTGAAAATACTACCTTCCCTGTATTTTCTAGTCACATCATTTTCCACTCAGCTGACATTTTATTTCTGTTGTATTTTAGTGACCTTATCATATGTAATTGGAACTTTGGCTTCTCACGATTTGGAGAGTGGACCTGGACTTTTTAGGTGTTGGTGATGTGTTTAAACTACTGGCAATTTCTTAGCTATAACCATGATGAAAAACTTCTTAAAAAGAAAGAACAAAATCTTAAATCTAATAATGAGGAGATTATTCCAGGGAAAATAAAATAAAGCAAACCTTATAATAAAAAAGGAACTTATTAGAAAGAGCAGTAAGAAATGAATACATCCTTTCTCAACTTGGCTCAGAAGAGAGTACTAATTATTCTGCTCAAGACATATTCTTCTCTCTCCTTCCACCTATTTCTAAAACCTTCTCTCCTTTCAGGATCTGGCCCAAGTTTTAGCTTCCCTGTGATCTACAGTGAATCTTTCAGTCTCTGCTGATTCTTCTTCCCCGTGAATGCATCTGGTCTCCTACCATCTCTTCCAGAAAATGTAGCATTTGTTTTCAAAGCAGCAATTTATTTCCCTCTCATAATGAAACTAGAAATCAAGCTAAAATGGATGAAACAGTCCATCTGGGAAAGTGACCATTCTAAGGCATGGTAAGTAAATGGCTGAAGACATTTCAGAACACCTATGTCCTGGACAAGGTTCCTTTCAGAAGGTAGAATTGAAACTCGCCTGTAACTAGAAAGATGAAACACAGTAAGTGAGCTAAGTAAAAGGTCCTCAACCAATATACCAATTATTACCTATTTTTATGTAGATTTGGTTCTGCCATATTAAAGATTTCAGGTCTTCCCCTTTGCTTTCATTATGAGTGATCTCACAATCACATCAATTGGTTGAATACCTTTTTTTTTTTGGTCAGTCTTTAAAACTCTCTAGACTTCAATTTCTCTGTCTCTAAAATCAGTGGGTTGACTAGATAGATTCTGAGCTCAGAATGGACCTGTGGATCAGCTGTTTTTCTCTTGGACTTATGCTTCAAACCGATTTCCTACTCAAGCAGCTATCAACCTAAATATCAGAAGGTATATTATACTTTATAATTTCTGTGTGCCTGTTACTATGTAGTGCTTCTGCAGCCACATAATGTTAACAGAGACATGATTAAGACACCTGTGAGCCTGGAGGATGGCGTGGGGGAAGCAAGGGGGATACTTTAGATGCTAACAGGACATGTCATGTTGCCCTCTAATGGGGAATCTGTTTTTTTGTTTCTTTCAGTACAAATGCCAAAGAGAAAGTGACTCTATTAACTAAAGAGATCTTAAAGTGTTCCCCAACTGCTCTGTTGTATCGTGTGTTGTTGGTGGGGTGGGGTATGCAGCCTCTAAAGGAAAAATAATCCCTGAGTGCTTGGGTTGTAGAGACATTTCCAGCATTCAGAGGTGCTCTGTGAAAGAAGGGAATGGTGGTCCAGTGATTCAGGAAATGTTGTAAACTATGCTCATCACTGTTGGAGATTTTCATTGTTGTATGTATTTAAGGTTAGAGAATTCTGGCAATAGGAAAATTTTAACTTGGTCTGAAATCTCAAATATCCCAAAATTGGAAAGTTTTGAATTAGAGAGTCAGAACATGTCATCATCTTAAAAATACCAATAAGGCAAATATTGTCTGATAAACTTGCAATAATTAGAAACTCATCTTCGTTCAAATACATAAGTAAATGTATGGGTAGATATGGGTAGAATGACTTAATAAAATTTTACAAAAGGTCCAGATAAATTCTAAACGAAGACCACACCTGGCACATTGTATTTTCTCCAAAGGGTGGAGAAAGCACTTTTAGAAGCATCAGAACCATTGCTTCCACAGTCTGCGTCAGGCTTACCCAGGGTGCCTTGGCCCTAATTCAGACCAACCAATTCCAGTCCCTGTGCTAAAGAGTGGCATTTGTAACAAATTCTGTATTCGATTCTAATGCACAGTTAAGTTGAAAAACCATTAGTCTAGATGATAGTACAGGGCCATTTAATTATTAAATGGCCAAAAAGCTTATTAAAATCACTTGTAGATAACTGAACTAATATTTAAAATGGCGATTACATATTTAGATCAGCCTTAAAATGTTGTTTTAACTGATATTGTAGCTGAAATAGTACAGTGGGTAGAAGACTATGTTGATAGTGTTCAGAGGAATGGCGTGGAAGGGTCAGTAGTGTAGACACATGCGATTAGAGTGGACCCAACTGGGCCTCCCAAACATTGCTTTCGATCAAACAGATCCAATTGAAATTTGGTAACTTGTGGAGAGTGACAGAATTTGAGTTGTGGAATTTTTCCCTCTAATTTTTAAAATTATTTGGTAATTATGAGGTTAATGCAGATTTTCAAATAATTCATGAACAGAATAGAAAAAAAAGATTGGCCATCTGTAGCTTTACTCCTACTTTCTTCCGATCCATCCCCTCAGTGCAACACACACACTCCTATGTAGAGGCCGAAGAACTTCCCTGGTTAGGAACACTTGAAATCATTCGCCTCTGCATGTGATGCTGTATTGCCTTGTGGAAAGTTTGCCAGTGACTAATGCAAAGGAACTTTCTAAAGTTGCCTTGGATAGAGAAGGAAAAAGAGCTGTAACACAGAGCAATTTTATTCTCCTTCTCAAAGTTCTAAAACACTAGCGTGATTCCAATCTTGCATGTTGGGACCTGGTATTATCTGGGTTAATCTTTTGCTGGGTGGGTCAAGTATGCTATTTGAATATATTTTTTAGCCCTTTTTGAAAGCATTCCCAGAAGTGGGTTTTAAGCATCATAGTGATGTCCTCTGCTAGTATAGACGTACTTTGGGGTTTACAGATAACCTGCTCCTGGAGTCTGAACCCAGGTCTAACTCCAACACCCATGATCTTTCACTTTGCCACATTGTCTTTCAGAAATGAATAAGATGTGATCATTGCCCTTGAGAGATTCTCCATGCAGCTTGGGAGGCAGCAACATAAACAAATGGTTGCTGCAGACAATTTAATAAAGAAAAAAGGAAAGTGATGCTAACCCTACCCGGGCATGTTAGGGAATGTATCGCATAGGAGGTGGTCTTTGTAGTGAGTGTGTCAGTACAATTCACTAAGGAAGACAGGTAGAGGGACATTCATATGCAAAGTAACATACTTTTTCATTCCTAGCTAAAACATGAATTCTCTCAGCCTTCTTTCACAGCCATTTCTGATGTTACCAATCCCTCATGGCTCTCCTAACCACTTTCCTGCACCTAACGCTCACCCTATGTAATAATTGGTTTTCATGTTTGTTTTTCTCTTCATACCTAGAGCTCCTTGATTAAAAGGACAACTTATCTTTGTGCACTTAGCACAGTGCCTCATAAAGATGAGACTTTATTAAGTATTTGCTGAAATAATGAGAGTAAGAATATTTTCTGCAATTGTTGACATTCTGAAATTGACACATTTCTGAAGAACTTTGTTAAATAAAAATATTTTATATAGTAATGGGACATACTACTAAGTAATCTAACTGACAATCCCTACATTTCATTTTGTTTAAATCCAAATTCCATAACGATGCTATAAACAATTCCCCTTTTATTCATCCACTCATCCTTACTACAAATATTTATTGACCACCTAGCATATGGCAGCCATTGTCCTAGTCACTAGGCCTCTGATGAAGTCCAAGTATATACACAGTCTTTGCCCTTGAAAAAGGGCTAGTGGGGGAGATACCCATTCACCAAATAATCACAAAATAAATGTACACCCTTAAATGCTGATATATACTAGGAAGGAAAGATACATAGTATAACAGAAACAGGAAACAGACTTCATCTGTAGTGAGGCTAAGAAAATGCTATTTGAGTTGTAAGTGAAATAATGAGGTAAGTGTCCTAATGGCTGACTTGGGGAATGGGGAGAGATTTCTATGTAGAGAAAATAAGAGGTAGGCAGGCCTATTCTGAACTGAGAGAGAAGACCAGAATGACTAGTCACTGGGCAGCAGTAGCAGTGGTGGTGATAGGGGCAGAGTGTTCAGGAAGGGGATGTTGTGGGGTAGAATGACGTGAGATAAAGCTGGAAAGAATGGTTTGGGTTAGCCCATTGAGCCTCAAAGACTATGTTACGAATTCTGTTCTTTGTTCTGAGAACAATGAGAAGCCCCCGAGGACAGAGGGGGGAGGTGTTGAAAGTTCACTGCAGCTCTACTGGAGAAAAGCAGCGAGAGAAGGCGTAGGGAGACCCTGAAGGAAGCTAGTGTAGTAATCCAGATGTGAGATGCATCCTTCAGTAAAGGTTGGAGGAAGGGCCCTTTTTGGAAATAATTCAAAGAGAAATCATAATACAGAATATAACTACTTGCCTAATCCTTTTAGGATTTTCTTTTCCAGTTTTTGCTCTTTATTGGTGACAGGCTCTTTGGCTGTGGGTGGCTCTCCAGGAGGCGCGGGTTCTCTCTCCGTCTCGTCAGCGGCTTCCTCGCAGTCCCTGTCCTCGCTGTCAGCTGGTTCTGGGTGCTCGGGCTGCTCCTTGGCCTTGGTGGAGCGCTCCTTCCCTGCCGTGCAGGCAGCAGACCCGTACGTGTTAATGATGTCTTCCAGTTGTCTGTTCAACTCTTCAGAGATGTCGTGAGCTCCTGTTTCAGGCTTCACATCTGCCTCCTTCGATGGTGCTTGGAGTGGGCTGGCGGGATCCTGATCATTTTGCTTCTCCAGCCCATTCTGACTGGGTAATGAAGAATTGTCCCCTGGAGGTGTTGATTGTGGTTCCCCCGAGAGCTGTACAGAGTGATTGGCCTCCATACCGGAGTGGTACCTAGTGGCAAGCACAGTCAGCTTTTATGTAATTAACCCAGTTACATGTAAATGATAAGGATATCCTCAAATGAGCACCTACTAATTACAGTTTCTAACACAGAATGGATGTACTTTCACAAACCATCAATATTGCGACTAGGTAGGTAGGAACAGTAGGAAGCCATTGTTCCAAATCAATTTATACTAGTAGCATATTTTTGATTTTGGTCTTTAAATTCCAGAAGTATTTCTTATTATTGACAATAACAGAGTAATTCAAGATGTTGTTTTTCATGGCCATATTTGTCTTTTTGCTTAGAATAGCCAATTTGTGTTACCATTGTCTTAAATAATTCTATGTACATTTACAATTACTGGAAGTACATGGACGTATACATTTAAAATATTTACATTTTAAATGGTGTTATATTTTTCAAATATAAAATTTTAGTACAAGAGCCACTGAACTTACTAAAATCCTTAATAATAATAATGTTTCTTAATTCTATTTTAGTATATAAATTAAGATTTGATTAATATGAGTACATTGATATAAATGAATTATTGATATAAATGAACTGATACAGGAGATATTTTCTAGCTTTTCTGGTATTTTCCTTTTCCAGATGAGCAACATATAATTATCAATGATGAAAATACTTTTTTTGAGGTTCAAACTAGCATTATTTTGGGAATAAGACAGAGAATGAGAGAAGGTATAAATGAACGAACAAACTAGTATGGAAATATGGTGATGCTCATAACAATAATTCTTTGAATTACTATAATACTTTTTTTGTTCTAATATAAAAATGGACTATCTTGTGGAAGAAAAGAACATATTGCAACTTTCTCAGTCAAGACGCTCTAGGATAACTTAATGATTTCTAAGAAACATCGGTGTTTAGTGAACAGGGAGGGAGTGAACCAGAGAAATAATCCAGATATAACATGGGCTCTTTGAAAATAAGGGGCAAGGAGGGAGCTGAGTCACGGATTCATGGTTTCTGGCTGTCACCTTTTCTAGGCTTGCAATACAGCTGGCTTAGGCCTTTAGGTTCTAGCACATTTTATTTGCAAATGATATTTAATGGTGATGCCACTAACTAGCAGGATAAAAATATCGCCGTGTCCTCATACTGCACAGGTTTTGTGGTGGCCTGAAAGCAAAACAGAGCGTCCTGCCCTACGCATTGCATGGCTTCCTGCCCCCTTCTGGGGCCAGTAGGTGTCAAATGCTCAAACGCCGGCAAGAACGGAAAATTCAACGTACAGCCCTGGCCACCCACTTGTGCCCCTCACCAAATACTCATTAACTGAGAAGGAAGTACTTTCTTCTCTCACCCATTTTATTCTATATTTTTTCTTTTTATTGAATTTATTGGTGTGACATTGGTTAATAAAATCATATAGGGTTCAGGTGTACTATTCTATAATAGGTCATGCATATATTTTACTGTGTGTTCACCATCCTAAGTCAGGTCTCCTTCCATCACCATTTATCCCCCCATATTCCCTCTTCTACCTCCCCACCCCCTTTCCCTCTGGTGATCACATGCTGTTGTCTGTGTCTATGAGTTTTTTGGGTTTTTTTTTTTTTGCTTAATTCCTTCACCTTTTTCACCCAGCCCCACAACTGCCACTCACCCATTTTAATCCACCAACTTTATTACCTAATGATACAGTAAACAGTTTCCTTGTCTTCATCACTGAGATTTCTTTATCCCAACGCCTACTTGTTGGGCACACTCATCTATATATAACTGTGCCTCCCCTGAACTCAGAGAAAGACACGTGGCACCTGCTGTCCAGCCAGAAGCTATTTTGAGCTCTTCTAAAAGGAGGCATGGTATTTAGCACTTCATCCCCGAAAACCAAGGGGAGAGAGTACTTTTAATACAAATTGAAAACAGTAAACATTTACTGGCTTAAATCCATACGTAGGTTTTAAAGTGTTAGGATGTAGTAAAACTAGAGTAAACCAAACTTCAAAGCAATGCATTTAAAACGGACTCTCCATAGGAAGTTTCGTGTGGCTAGTCTAAATGCAAGCGTTTTGTTTGAATTAGCTTTATTCTTCATTCATCAGGGGCCATAATCATTGGTGTTTTCATATTACTCCCATGGGTAGCCTTTAAACCCATGTACCACATTGACTTTAAAATGGAATAACTTAGTCATTGTAAACCACAGGACAACTCAATTCCTAAAAGTGGCCTCAAGGTAAATCAACAAGAGGATAAAAAACAAGGTCAAAGAACTGTTACTTTTAAATCGTCTCTTTCTAGGTTAACCAATTTTACAGCAAAAAAATTATTTCTAAGTTTTAGCTTCTATACACTTGATTGCCCAACTTTTTCCTCCTGCGAGAAAAAGGTTTTCACTGTACCAGCAGATTATCACACACACCGCCTTTCCTGAGCAACACATTTTAATTATAAATAAAACAATGGAAAGTTCTGCGACAGCTCACTGGCAATCTCGATGCTGCGTTTCAAACACTGCAAACCGCACCCCACATCTTCTCACACGGCTTGGGGAAGTGTTGGTCATACTTACCAGAAAGCAAGGAGCTAAGCAGAAAGAGTAAAGGAGAGGCAAAGAGGCAGCGAAAAGCTAGTCAGAACAGCAGTAACAGCAGGAGACAGGCAGGCGGCTGGGTTCTTGCAAGGGAGAGAGAAACCAAATGCGCACACACACACGCACACACACGCACACACACACACACACACTCACACCCCAGGCACTGAGGCAGCAGAAGAGCAGGCGGGGGAGGGGAAAGGAACACCGTGTGACATAGCGAGAGAGAAATGCACCCCAGCTTCTGTAGCTGTCTCATGGGCAAATGTCTTAGAAAGGAGAAGCAGCTGGTAGTTGTTATCAGACAGTTTTATCCTTTAAAAAATGTAAACTCTTAGTATATAGCCCCTTCGCTAGCACACGTTTGCACCATTGTTGTTCTTTTGGGCAGAGATGAGCTTTTCTTATTTCTTGGTTTATTTCCAGTGCGGTCTATGATTCATCTCCTTTTTTTCCTCCTCTTAGCTAGCCTAATTAGTATCAGGTTTCTCATGGGAAGGAATCATGGAAAAAGAAAGACAATGGCATAAGAAAAGGAGGTGGTACAGCTACTTTCATTCTGATGTCATTGTTTGGTTTGTGTGAAAAATATGAAATAAAAGTTTAGACAGCTATCTTGGCAGTGAGTTTAGTGTTGTCGTCATGTGCTTGGTGACTGGCGTGACCCCAGATCCTGGGTCTGACTTGGGTCACTGCCTCCACATCTCAGATGAGCCCTTGGGGAAGCAGTTGCTTTTTCTCCCATACTCCAGGCGTCCCCACCTTCTGAAGCAGCGTTTCCAGGTCTTTTCCACTCTTTCGAAACCCTCAACCTGCTCTTTAATTTCTTTGAAAAAAACACTACCTCCTCCTCATTTACCATAAAATGCATCTCTTAACCCTACATCCATTCCCCTTGACGTCCTGTTTCTGGAGAATGTGTCCCCACACTTCTCTAAAGTGGATTCCTCCATCAGTTTCTGCTCTTGGGGCTGGGGGGTTTAGGGACACTGCCTGTAGTAGGCGGAATAATGCCCCTGATTAACATCCAAATCCTAATCCCAGGAACCTGTGACTATATTACTTACTGCACATGGTGAAAGGGACCTTACAGATGTGATTACATTAGGGATTTTGAGATGTGGACATTATCCATAATTGTCTAGATGGGTCCAATGTGACTCTCTACAAGAGTCCTTATAGGAAGAAGTAGGAGGTTCAGAGTCAGAAAAGCAGATTTCATGGCTCAAATAGAGGTCAGAGTGATGGGGGCGGGGTGGGGGGCACAAACCAGGGAGTGTGGGAAGTCTTTGGAAGCTTGGGCAAGCAAGGAAATTAATTTTTCTCTAGATCCCTCAAAAGGAATGTGATTTTGCTGACACCTGATTTTAACTGTGAAACTCATTTTGGATTTCTAACCTCCAGAACTATAAGCTAATAAGTTTGTGTGGTTTTTAAGCCACTAGATGTGTGGTACATTGGTATCATGGCAAGGGAAAAGTAAAATATCCTAACCTCTCTACTTCCCCCCACCCCTTTCTCCCAATTCAGGAGAGGCATCAATTATATATAGATGAGTGTACCCAACAAGTAGAGGTCAGGATGAAGAAATTCTAGTGATGAAGATAATGAAGCTGTTCGTGGTATCGTTTGATAATAATGGTGAATTAAAATGGGTGAGAGAGAAAAAGTACTTCCTGCGAAGTAATGAGTACCCAGTGAGGGCCACGAGTGGGTGGTATTCCATACTGAATTGTAGCAAACCGAACCATTCAGATCTCTCAGTAAATACAAACAATAAATGAATAATTCTCATATTTAAGTAATATACAGAGTCCTTTAACAGAATAACTTAATGTTGAAATTCATTTAAAGGGAAAAAAAGAACTCACCATGGTTGAACTGAATTATTATATCATTATTTGTACCGATATGTACTACAATAAAAATAAATATAAACTTCTGATGCTTATTGCTATTATATAGTATAAACTTCAAAAATATATTAAAAACACTAGCCCAGCTGGTGTGGCTCAGTGGTTGAGTGTTGACCCATGTACCAAGAGGTCACCGGTTTGATTCCCAGTCAGGACACATGCCCAGGTTGTGGGCTGAACCCCCAGTGGGGGGCATGTAGGAAGTGGCCAGTCGATGTTCTCTCTCATCAATGTTTCTGTTTCTCTCTCCCTTCCCCTTCCTCTCTCTCTCAAAAAAAAGAAAAAATATTTAAAAACAAAATACTAAAAATCCATAGATTCAATTCAAATTACAACAATACTCTTATGTGACAGAGTATTTTGCTGAACTCCAACTACAAGTTAAAACACAAATATGGTGCTGACTGTTGGTCCTTCTGAGTTTATGGGCCTCTTCTTCAATGTTTTTCGTGAAATGATTCAGTTCCTTTAGCACTCGGTCCATTCAGATTATTACATAAGTTTCATTTATATGACCTGCTATAATTTGAATTGGACTCCCTTTGATACTAATGAATTATTTACTGCTCTTTCTCATTTTCCTGCAAGTATTAAAATAGTGTCACTTGGTGCTTGCTAACTTGATTATATAATATACATGACAGTGAAGGCACCAACATGACAGATTATACATAGTGACACCAAATGACAGCTACCCAGATGCTCCAGAGTGGGCTTATACATTTTTAATTATAAATGAAATTAATACTAACACACGAACTGTGGCTCCCATGAATCCATCTATAGTCTGCTAGAGGCCTAAAGATCTGGAGTAAAGAAATTAAAAAGATAAATGAATAGAGCTCAGTGCTTATTATAAAGTCAATCTTTAAATTACAGTAAGGGATACATATTTTTTACAATAGCATTTTAATTTTTATGCAAATATTACAAAAATTAGTTTAAAAATCAAATGATGCTAAAAAGCTCACCACAGGGAATAATAATCCCTGTCCTCCCCTTGTCATGCTCCCCAGAAATAATATATTAAACTGTTGTAGATGTTTCTTCTGTGATTTACTTTCTCATTTATAAATAAAACACCTATCTTGCTGTCTGCCAACTCATCAATTTTAACATTACCTATTGCCTTCCCATAACGATAGATAAAGATTTAAAATATTGACACCCATTTTTTCTCCTCATTTCTCAATAAAATGATATATTATTTTTTTATTCATATTCTCTGTTTTTATGATTGAAATAAAGTTTACTGCTACGCCCTGGCCGATTTGGTTCAGTGGTTAGAGTGTTGGCTTGCGGTCCAGAGAGACCCGGGTTCGGTTCCCGCTAAGGACGCGTACCTTGGTTTCAGTTTGTCCCCGGCCCTGGTTGGTCGTGCGGGTGGCAGCCACTCGATGTGTCCCTTTCACATCGATGTTTCTCTCTCTCTCTTTCTCTTCCTCTCTCCCTCCCACTCTATCTGAACAAAAAATGGAAAAATGTCCTCGGGTGAGAATAAAAAAAAAAAAAGTTTTACTGCTAAATCAGGTAGAACACTGTAACTATAGTTCCCTTCTTTTAAAACTTTTTGTTTTTTCTTGGAGTTAATAATTACCTTTTTTTTTTTTAACTTGCTAATTATTAAGAATACTTTATCTTCCCTAGCTATAAGAGCTCTATAAAATGCCTCTCCATGCAATTTTCTCCAAGATCAAATCTATTAGACAATTTACACATTATGGTATTTTCCTGGTGGTAGCACCTCACATATAATTATTCTCAGCACCTTCCTGGTGCAGTCTGACCCGGTAACTTTCTCAGCCTGTTGCACAGTTGTGCTCCTAGCCCTTCCCAGCTGTCATCCTGGGAATTCCCTTTCTCTCTCCTGTTTCCTGGTTCCCATTCTTCCCCTTTTTCTGTTTACTTCCTCATTTAGGGAAACATATTGTCCTCTGGCTTCCTGAAAGAGCATTCATGGAACACTCTGTATGTCTCAAATGCCTTTTTGCCGCTCTTGTATTTACTTGGTTAATAGTTTGGCTCAATGGAAACTTTTACAAAATGTAAAAAAATATTTTTTTTCAATAAAACTTTTTAACATTTCTATCAAAAATGTTAAGACATTATTCCCTTGTCTTTTAGTTTTCACCTTTTTCTCCTTAAAAGTGCAAGATCATTCATAATCCTGATCCTCCATATGATCTATATTTCTTTCCTCTTCTCTGGAACCTTTTAGGATCTTCTTTTTATCCCCGATATTATGAAGTTTCACAATGACAAACTTTGATGTACATTTTTTTTCATTTGTTTTGTTGGATGCTTAATGGGCTTTTAATCTGGAGATTCAAGTCGTGAACTTCCTTCTCCCTTTATCATTGTTTCTTACCCTTGCCCGCTTTTGGACCTCACATCTCTGAGTCCAGAGCCTTTCTGGTTCAGCTTCTCCAGAGAACAATCCCAGGTATCCTGAAAGAGGGAAAAGTTACTTAACTTTGGGAGTAGAATTTGGGAACTTTGGGACTAACTGTTCGTTCTCCTAATTAGGAACCAAAAAACTAGCCCTCAAATGATCCTACTATAGTCCCCAGCCTTCCTGCTACTTTTGATATTATCTCCACTTGCTGAGTGCTAACCTCAAATTTCTTAGTCTTTTCAGAATCTACCAGGCAAATTAGTCAGCTTCTCAATTTCCTGCCGCTACCCAGCCCTGTTTCTGTCAAGCACACTTTTTCTGTTGGATCGTTTTTATTACATCTTGTGTTCTCGTCCTCATTCACTGTGGTTTGGGGTTTATGGATTCAAATCTTATGGTTTCACTGATTTTAGAGTTTCTATTTCTGTTTCTCATTCTCTTGTTTGCTAGTGAATTTTAGAGGGAAACGAGGTCAGAAGGGTCTTTACTATGCTGTCTTGGAGTCAGGAAGTTCTATTTAACCACCATAGCAGTCCAGTGCTGAAAGGAACTGTTCCCCAAATAAGAAATGCTAAATAGAGCCTGTTGCTCTTTCTGGTAGAGATATGAAGAAGAAATTTCTGCATGGTGGGGTTGGGGTGGGGAGAACCAGATTAAGTGACTCACTTAAGATCTCTTTCAAATGCAAACATTTACAAATTCTACACTTTTCTACTGTGGGTTTACTCATGCAATGGGGGTGGAGGGGGGGGGCGGGGTGTAGGGAAACTTTTTTCTG